ATGTAATGTATGAGATATTCTACATACATCGCTGCCAGGAATGTGGGAGGTTGATAGCATGAGCAACAATCCACACTGCTCTGGGAATGTATTCAAGGTCGTACAATGTGACCACACGATTTTCTTTTATGTTGACACGGCAAGCATCGAGTGCTGGGGATTTTTAGGATAGTGAACCCTAGTAGAGTCCTGTATCACAAAATGATCTCAGCATTATCGTAAGCCTATGTTAGAATATAGGAGTTACGATCATCTTAGCGCTAAGATCGCTTTGTTGGATGGGTTTTAGAAATAGAGGATGGAGAAGGAGTGGTAACTTTACATGTATAATAGTAATTTTATATGGTTTATTGGATCTTTTGACACCTGTTGTAGGTAGCACTTACTGCAGTTACATTTACATAAGGTGACACTTGCCACAGGTAACATTTACAGAAAGTTAAGCTTACCATTGTTGCACTTACTGAAGGTGAAACTTACCGTTGTTCCACTTACTGAAGGTGAAGCTTACCGTTGTTGCACTTACAGAAGGTGACTAGTACTGTTGTTGCACTTACTGAAGGTGAAGCTTCCTGTTGTGGCACTTACAGAAGGTGACTAGTAGTGTTGTTGCACTTACTGAAGGTGAAGCTTACTGTTGTGGCACTTACAGAAGGTGACTAGTACTGTTGTTGCACTTACTAAAGGTGAAGCTTACTGTTGTTGCACTTACAGAAGGTGACTAGTACTGTTGTTGCACTTACTGAAGGTGAAGCTTCCTGTTGTGGCACTTACAGAAGGTGACTAGTAGTGTTGTTGCACTTACTGAAGGTGAAGCTTACTGTTGCACTTACAGAAGGTGACTAGTACTGTTGTTGCACTTACTGAAGGTGAAGCTTACTGTTGTTCCACTTACTGAAGGTGTAGCTTACTGTTGTTGCACTTACTGAAGGTGTAGCTTACTGTTGTTGCACTTACTGAAGGTATAGCTTACTGTTGTTGCACTTACTGAAGGTGTAGCTTACTGTTGTTGCACTTACTGAAGGTGTAGCTTACTGTTGTTGCACTTACTGAAGGTGTAGCTTACTGTTGTTCCACTTACTGAAGGTGAAGCTTACCGTTGTTGCACTTACCAGTCGCAGACGTAACGTGTACGCGTGACGGGTCTGTCGTCTCTTGTACGCGAGACGGGTGCGGACGGCAGTACTCAGTGAAGCGCCTGATACTAATTAATTCAATCACCGTGGCTGTGCTGTCACCCGCGACCTCCGCGAAAGTAATTAAAGCGCTATGTAAAATCACCCACTGCCGAGAGTGCCCCCAATCCTCCCAAGGTTGTGACTGGCAGGTCGCGTGTGCATCGACGCACATTGTTCCACTTACTGAAGGTGTAGCTTACTGTTGTTGCACTTACTGAAGGTGAAGCCTACCGTTGTTGCACTTACTGAAGGTGTAGCTTACTGTTGTTGCACTTACTGAAGGTGAAGCCTACCGTTGTTGCACTTACTGAAGGTGAAGCTTACTGTTGTTGCACTTACTGAAGGTGAAGCCTACCGTTGTTGCATCCGACCTCTGATCAGAAGGTCTGTGGTTCGAATCCCATCACGGGACTTGGAAAAATTATTGTGTCGACAGAATGATGTTTTGGAAAGGTCTGCTGATTGATTCTAAAATACCCAGTGGATGGGACCCAAGATGTGGAACTATATTTAAACCAAAGAAAGCAATTAGTATAGAATGAGACTGATGGCCATGATAGCATGCGTGTGACTACTCAGGCTCAGCAGGAGTGGATTACAATCACTCACTGCCAGGACGTGTGTTCTTTATTTAGAGGCTACAACAATGTGTTGGAATCTTGATGAGTGTAGTCTCAAGGGATTAATTTACCAGGTCTGGAGTCATGAAAATTACTATATTCATATTTGACGTAACTCGTACCAAATTTTGTCTTAAATTGGGGAGCATGTATGTCAGTCTACATGATCTATTAGTTTCATCTTTAACATGTTTAAGTCTAAGACTGCCCCTGAGACTGACAACAAAATTTGTAGGTAAAAAAGCTGGTTCAAGTGGTACAAGTGGTACAGCGCCTCAGTGTTAAACAAGATAAAATATGTATACGCAGGACAGTCAGGGACAGCTTCAACCTGCTAGATCTGTAGGATGAACAGCGTTTTGAGATAGATTTTTTCTGCCTACTCTCTTCTGCTTCTCTGCTTTTTGCATGATGACATGTAATACAACCCAGTTCTCACGACCATTTGGAGAATGTGTCCTGATACCCAGCTTTACATCAGGTAGTTTATCTTAGATATTCATCAAATGAGGTCAATATCATATGTAGCTATTTTTGAAAGATACATAGAACTTCGGATTGTGTGAATATTGATTTTAGTCTCAAGGTAATAATATAGGAAGCAACTCAAACGCAAGATTCTTCTTGTGCTGTAGTCTAACACAACTGTGAAGACAGAGTTGACTGCGCGATAGTCTCTCAACGCGATATTTCGGTCACATCCCTGATTCAACTCTGTCTTCATTGTTACAGCTTCTAAACTGCCACTAACAGATATAACGACGGAGTTTGGAAAAGTTGACCCTAGTACTTCCCGACATTAGACAGGTCATTTTAAATCTGTGCCAGGGATATTGTGAAGTTAATGAAAGGTATTAAATACTCAAAGTTGTTAGGCACAGCTGCTGGCTTACAATACTCTGTGTGTATATGGGCTGTGTAGAGTTATTTACGTCATAAGTGAATATAAATCACCATTACCCAATAAATTTTGAGTTAATTGCTTTCAAATACACAAGAAAAATGTCATAAACACAATAGCATAGCAACAAGTGTATTTACCCAGTGTACCCTTTTTGTATTGCGTAGCTATGCTTCTTTACCGATCTCTAGTTATTGATGAAATGCCGGCATCACACAAATACTTACCCTGTGCAGTGGGTAGTGTATAAAACAAGGCTCTACATCTCTACATTGTTAATTAATCATTATAACACTGTTGTGAGTTTATGCATGTTGCACGTTTGCAGCACACAGATGCAAATTAGAAGTCAGCAAAATGATTTAAAAATACATCATGCATGGTGGTGTAAGAATACCCAAAAGACTCCACTCACAGTAGGAAGGGGACCCAAAGGAAACTATCAATACCCAGTTTCAATGATAGCGTGTGAGTCAATACGTAACATTCTCAATGCGTCAAAACATGATCTGGAGCCCTTGCGATGTTAGTATGACTCGTATCCACCAGGACAATAAATACTGGTAAACACTACTTACTTTATAATTTAAGTTAAGTTTACTGTACTCCCATGTGTAGAGTTTAGAGTTTAGTTTTTCCCTGAGCTGTTATAGTTAAACATTTGTTGAATATGGTAGTACAGGAGTTATCCTTTCGCGAACACCTGATGTCATCACAGATTTTCAGTGATCCATTCATATAATTTTCACTGCTATGTTGCCTTTTATGCCCAATGGAATCTGTTTTGCCAGTTAATGGAGACTGGTTATTCTCTGGCATTGTTTCGTATTAGAACTTGAGGATGCTTGCATTATTAGTGAGTGAGTGAGTGAGTGTGTATGGTTTTACGCCGCTTTTAGCAATATTTCAGCAATATCACGGCGGAGTACATGAGAAATGGGCTTCACACATTGTACCCATGTGGGGAATTGAACCCAGGTCTTCGGCATGACAAGCGAACACTTTACCACTAGGCTACCCCACCGCTTGTATTATTAGTATAGGTCAGGGAACAACTACATGTAAATTGTATTTCATCTTCTGCTTGCTCTTGGATCATGTAATATAACCCGTCCAGACAGGCCTAATGCATGCCTTTTGTGAGCTTTACATATTGTTTTGCAAAATTATATAGATATGCTACTACAACTGCAACAGTGGTGCATGTCAATATAGCTGTACACATCAAAGAGTATCGCTACATCTCCGAGCTGTGCAGAGCTCTTTTGTTTTGGTTTGAGAATTGAATCGTGCGTGATGATGTGACAGAAAAACTTGGAAATTAGTTCTTACATGATTAACAAACACCCAGAACTGTCGATGTACTTGCCCTTTAACCCTGTCCAGATGTGTATTGTGTGTGGTGCTGGGACAATGTGAGGTAGTCGGGGAAAACACCTTAGGGCAGGTTGCTATAGGACGTTATTGTTTTCCATCTTTCAGATCTGACATGTTTGTCCCATGTGTTTTATATTATCATGATTATTACTCACAGTGATGGAAGATAAATTACTTACATTTAATAGTCTTGTCTGTATAATGAATCACATGACAAGCTCACGATGGCAGGGATTTCAGATTTATGTCAAGAATGTCAGAATGTTTTATAATTGATATTGTAGAGTTATTTTCAGTAAACATGGTAAACATGTTCAAGAAATTTATATAGATGAAATCAGAAATAAACCCTTCTAGTGTAAAATAGTGTATTTTGTATACTGTTTTGTTTTGTTTCACTCTATTTACAAATATTGGTCACCAGAACAACTATTTAGTCAACCCCAGCTGTCGGTAAAGCAATATTTTATTACCTGACTGATCTCGTGGTTAAGGTGTGAACTTCTCGCACAAAAGTCCCAGTTTGTTTTCCAACTTAGGGCAGTGAGGGGCACGAGGTTCAGGGGCCCAGGTGCCCCCTTGGCACTGCTGTTCATTGAGTTTTCCCAAGGCATGCCTGGATCTACTGATCATGGGTTCGAATCCATGATTCATCCTGATTATTTTTCTGTTTGTCGGCGCCATACCTGTGCTCATCGGTTTCATCCAAGTGGTAAATATCGAAGACCTACATCACTTCAGGCTTGATGTGGCTTCAATACAACTAGAGACTGTACAAAGAATTAAACCGCTGACGACACAGTTGACACGGAATACGAAGTTGCATTATCCATAAGTCGGCAGTCTTCATTCATACCACAGCTTCTTGAATACATAACTAATGTAAATCTCAATTTCTTCTTATAAAATATGTTTTGTTTCCAGGTGGTGCCCTCTCCAACAGCCTTGCCCTCTTCACCGATGTCCTTCACCTTGGCAGCGACCTCATCAGCTTCATCATCAGCCTGCTGGCCATCTATCTGTCCACCAAACCGGCCACCAAGAAGATGTCCTTCGGCTACCATCGGGCTGGTCAGCTTCTCTCCTCTTACTGACCAACCATTTGATATTCTGGGGATGGGCCTGGGATTTTTTCCACACAAAAAATGTCTTAAAAAATTCTTGAAAAAAATAATTATTCTTCAGACTGTTAAAAAGAAGAAAGAAATTGGCACAAAATTTACATTGTTGTAAGGTGATTGTCTTTGAAAAAAATTCAAGCTCATAGTTTTAAATATATGACTTTGTAGCTGTAGCTGAAATATTATCTAATCCTGATACAAAGTCCCAACACAACACACCCCCCCCCCCCCCCCTCAATATCAAATGGTCGTCCGGACAACCACACCTTTAGACCCATGAAGATTCGGGGTAGAATAGGTCTTCAGCAACCCATGCTTGCCGTAAAAGGTGACAATGCTTGTCGTAAAAGGCCACTAACGGGATCGGGTGGTCAGGCTCATGCTCATGATATCAATCACTGGATTGTCTGGTCCAGACTCAATTATTTACAGACTGCCGTCATATAGCTGGAATATTGCTGAGTGCGGCGTTAAACAACACACCAACCAACCAACCAACCACACCTTTGGAGATTCAGAATAGAATCGCACTATTATGCGCACTCAGGGATTTACCAGATGACATCTTGCATCCAGTATGCATAAAAATGTAAAGCGTACACACAAAAAATCCTGAATTGCATCCATTGAGATGCAGAAAATTTGTATGCATGTTTAGGAAAGAATGCTGTTTCAAAATTTGGTACCACTTGAAATTAATTTCCATTCACAATCATTTCACAAATACAACACACAGCCAAGTGCTTCATGATTTTCCAGGAAAGATTATATGTGATGTTACCTATGTAAGAAAATATTAGGAGTAAAGCTGTGCCACTCATGAAAATATCAACTTTCTCAGGTCACCTAATGAGCTAAGCATGGTATTGGTAAAATAAATACAAATATCCTAAATGTGTTAAAATTTCTCTGGGACCCCCATTTTGTAGCTTTGGGCCCCCCACCTTTTTTTTTTCTTTTTCTTTTTTTTCATCCAGGGTCTTCTATTATGTTGGAAATCTTGCCAAACTTTTTTATGACCCATTGACCCATCATGTACCTCTTTAGATCATATGGGAGAGAATATAAAAACTCCTTGTGAGCCTGTTGATGAACCCACATGTTTCTGTTACAGAGGTGTTGGGAGCTGTCTTCAGTGTGTTCATCATCTGGCTGGTTTCTGGAGTCTTGTGCTACATGGCTGTGGAGAGAATTATACACGAACACTACAAGGATGTGAAAGCAGACGAAATGCTGATTACTGCAACCATTGGAGTTGTTTTCAATCTGATGTGAGTCTTTCCCACACAATTACTCCAGGAAGCATCTAACCTGATAAAATTTGATCTTTACTATGATGCGATACCTCTTTGCATGAAGGTCTTAGGACACCTCAGACGGGGACTTTCTAATCCCAATTTCAGTGGTACAGCTTCCAAATTTTCAGTCATAGTGAGTTAAGCATACAGACAAACAGATTTCTGCAGCTTGAAAACAAGAATGATTGGTGTTATATTTTTGTGGATATTTTGTCCATCATATCATTTCTGAGCGCCATGGCATCTTCACCAGGGTGTACTATCGAGGGTATGTTTGTGATCTGTGGAAGTTTTCTTATCAAAATCTCTGAATGTGGTACAGAAATAAAGCCAAATCCTTTTAGAAAGCTGACATTTGATGGGCTCAAGAACACCCCCATCCCTTATTTAGACTGAGCTCCTTGTTCACCTGGTACGACTTCCTGTGGAGGTGTCATGAGCTCTTTATGCAGAGTGGTGTCGTATTGGAATACAAAATCATATTCAATACGTTCACAGTTCACTGATATGTCTAATGAAGCAAGGCCGACTGGCAAGTTAGTCAAAGTCACACTCCTGATGGGCCACTCAGAATATAAGTTGTAGCAGGATTATGAGGGGTACATGCGTCGTTTTAATGAGGGACGCATAAAACCTTATGGACCCTGAGTGATCCTGCTACAACAAATTTATCTCACCGAAATGTTATTATGACATTGTAAAAGAATTCAAACAAATTCAAATTTTGATTTCCATTGACTCGGAAAGCATGTGGCTTTTTGCTTTGAAGCGTGGTGAAATCAGGGATTTATTCTGTCTCTCAGAAATCCACACGCAGCCTGATTTGCTTGTAGCATGGTATAAGAGATTTATTCCCCCGCTGAGAAATCTATCATGTTTATTCCCCTCCAACATTGTCCAAGGCGGGTTACACAGTATTTTATCAAGATCACATGGACAAATCAGTTCTCATCATTCTGACATGGAGGTATGATGATGATATTTGTAGGGTGCTTCTTTGACTAATGGCGCAACCATTTGATTTGAGGGGGAGGGGATTTTTCTTGTATACTAATCACGCCCCTGATTTGCTGGAAAAAAGTTACACATGTACAAATTTTTCTTGCAGACTATATCAGAGGTCCCAAAGAATACAGTTCATATTGCATCATTTTTATTTATTTAAGAAAACCTTTATTTGGCACCTGTTTGTGTTGAAAAACCAAAATCTGTCACCCTCTACTCTTAACATAAGCTATGTTATAATTGGTCACTGACTGAACTCAAATGTTTTCTGACCTGTGAAGATCCGGGTTAGGATAGGTCTTCAGCGACCCATACTTGCCATAACTGGTGACTCTGCTTGTCGTAAGAGGCGACTTATCATGCTTATGGGACTTGGTTGATGCATGTCATCGTATCCCAACTGTGTGGATCAATGCTCTTGATGTCAATCACTGGATTGTCTGGTCCAGACTTGATTATTTACAGACAGCCATTATATAGCTGTACTATTGCTGGGTGTAGCATTAAACAACAAACAAACAAACAAACAAATGTTTTCTTCAATACTCATGGATAAGAAGCAGTGTAAAGTGAGCAAGTTTGTTTGACTCCGCTTGGAATGTTAGTATAGTTATGTCTCAGATTCATGTAGGCGGGAAACCTGGAGTGATGCAAGTCTTAAACGTTTACCACTCTGGTGAAACCCTCAAGCATTGTAATCTTGAAACATGACCAGGATGAATTTGTGATTCAAACTCATTATGATGGGTGTCTGGCACTCCTAGGGGGCGCAACTCTGCACAGCAAATTGCAACACCTGAGACGGCATAGCCACCCATGCTCCAAGGCAGTATAGCCATTTCTCTGTACCTTGGGAAAAAGAGGAGGGTGTAAATATGTCAATGATGGTATGATAAGACGGACGTAACACATATATATGACACACATTTCGCATATTTTTTCCAGAATGGGTTTTGTGCTCCACTCAGAGAGATGTTGCAAATTTGGCTCAGCTCACCGCAGTTTTGGCCACAATCATTCCCACGGGTCAGGCCATGGTCACATGACCCAACGGAACCGAAGCGAGTACCAGCCTCTACATCAGGTTTTGGATGAATCCACGGAGGTTGATGAGCACGAAGATAGTCACGAGTTTCATGAAACCAATCATCGACATAAAAACATTAATGTGCGTGCTGCTTTTATTCATGTGGTGGGAGATATTATTCAAAGTCTTGGAGTCTTTGTTGCTGCTTTAATAATAAAATTTACGGTAAGTGATGGATACGTCAGCATTATGTACATCCATAGTAAGAAGGTGTGAAAGCAAGATAAAGGGGGGGACTTAGCTTGTGAAGCACAGCCTTCCATTAAATGTGTCTTTGCTGTTAGGCTTGATAGAATTTAATATTATGGTTTTAGGCTGACACTGCTTAGTGTTCTCCAGTTTGGTACACTGAATACAACTATATCATGCATTATACCTCTCATCACTTGGTTGTTGTCACTCCAGCTTGAAACTTCGCCATATGCAATAAACTATAAAGTTGTATGTTGTCTTACTTGCAAACTGAGGGTTGTGAGTCATGAATAGAGATATTTCATATCTTTGAAGAGTTAAGTTACCTGCCCTTGTCTTCTGCTTAAATGAAAAACCAGATAATGCTGATAGATTTCTCAGGACAACTTGCATGTTATACTGAACATGTTTTCACATGAATATATAGGATATAAACCAGTATTTGAGATCAATTTTAAGAAGTAAGGATTTGAATACCTTATGTGTTCCTATGATAATACCCTTGCATGCTCAACTCTGAATACCATCCGGTTTGTCATTGGGTCATTTCAGTCAGATGACCGGTTCCGTCTGGCAGATCCCATCTGTACCTTCCTGTTTTCTCTATTGGTGCTGATCACCACGATAGCCGTGCTGCGCGACACACTGCTGGTAATGATGGAAGGTGAGCTGCTGATATCCCCTGCTAGTAATACTGAAGGCGATCTTGATTCAAGTGCTGACATCCCCCCGCTAGTAATACTGTAAGCGGTCTTGATTCAAGTGCCGATATCCCCCTGCTAGTAATACTGTTAGCGGTCTTGATTCCAGTGCTGATATCCCCTGTAAGTAATACTGTAGGCGATCTTGATTCAAGTGCTAATATCCCCTGCTAGTAATACTGTAAGCGGTCTTGATTCAAGTGCCGACATCCCCTGCTAGTAATACTGTAGGCGATCTTGATTCAAGTGCTGATATCCCCTGTAAGTAATACTGTAGGCGATCTTGATTCAAGTGCCGATATCCCCTGCTAGTAATACTGTAAGCGGTCTTGATTCAAGTGCCGACATCCCCTGCTAGTAATACTGTAGGCGATCTTGATTCAAGTGCCGATATCCCCTGCTAGTAATACTGTAGGCGATCTTGATTCAAGTGCCGATATCCCCTGCTAGTAATACTGTAGGCGATCTTGATTCAAGTGCCGATATCCCCTGCTAGTAATACTGTAAGCGGTCTTGATTCAAGTGCTGATATCCCCTGCTAGTAATACTGTAAGCGGTCTTGCTTCAAGTGCCGACATCCCCTGCTAGTAATACTGTAGGCGATCTTGATTCAAGTGCCGATATCCCCTGCTAGTAATACTGTAGGCGATCTTGATTCAAGTGCCGATATCCCCTGCTAGTAATACTGTAGGCGATCTTGATTCAAGTGCCGATATCCCCTGCTAGTAATACTGTAAGCGGTCTTGATTCAAGTGCTGATATCCCCTGCTAGTAATACTGTAAGCGGTCTTGCTTCAAGTGCAGATATCCCCTGCTAGTAATACTGTAGGTGATCTTGATTCAAGTGCCGATATCCCCTGCTAGTAATACTGAAGGTGATCTTGATTCAAGTGCCGATATCCCCTGCTAGTAATACTGAAGGTGATCTTGATTCAAGTGCCGATATCCCCTGCTAGTAATACTGTAGGTGATCTTGATTCAAGTGCCGATATTCCCTGCTAGTAATACTGTAAGCGGTCTTGATTCACGTGTTAATTTCCCCATAGGAATGATGTGAAGTATTGATGATGGAAGAATAGAGACCAGATCTTTATTTTGACAGCATGTCTTCGTATCCCAGTTGAAAAATAGATGCTCATTATGTCAATGTGACTGGTCCAGACTGTTATTTGAGCAAGTTATGTCACCCTCAAACAAGAGTAACTCCATGTGTCAAGGCCAGGCCACATGCTTGCTCATTCTGCACTTGGTGTTTACATTCATGGTACACATTTGTCATTGTAGGAGTTCCGAGAGACATCAACTATGAATCTCTGAAGCAAGAACTGTTTTCAATCGAGGGTGTTGAGATGGTGCACAGCCTCCATATATGGTCCCTGACCATTGACAAGAATGCCCTGTCTGTCCATCTAGCAGTCGGTAAGGAGGAAATCTCTGGAGATAAACTCAAAGCTCATCCTCCGTTATCCCCAGTGTATTTTATCTCCATTCTGTTATCATAAATACCCTGGGGCCCGTTACCCAAAGTGATCGTAGTGCTACGACTGTCATAAGTCTATGTTAAAGTATGGGAGTTACAATCGTCCTAGCGCTAAGACTGTTATAAGTCTATGTTAAAGTATGGGAGTTACAATATTCCAGCAATAGGCTACCCTACCACCCCTCATGGACCACTAGGCTACCCCACCACCCCTCATGGACCACTAGGCTACCCTACCACCCCTCATGGACCACTAGGCTACCCCACCACCCCTCATGGACCACTAGGCTACCCTACCACCCCTCATGGACCACTAGGCTACCCCACCACCCCTCATGGACCACTAGGCTACCCCACCACCCCTCATGGACCACTAGGCTACCCTACCACCCCTCATGGACCACTAGGCTACCCTACCACCCCTCATGGACCACTAGGCTACCCCACCACCCCTCATGGACCACTAGGCTACCCCACCATCCCTCATGGACCACTAGGCTACCCTACCACCCCTCATGGACCACTAGGCTACCCCACCACCCCTCATGGACCACTAGGCTACCCCACCACCCCTCATGGACCACTAAGCTACCCCCGGACGTCACTTCCGAAAAGAAGCTACGGTGGTGAACAGGTCCAGGGTACTTATCGGAATGGAGATATAATACACTTGATAATCGAAGATGATTTAAGCTTGCCTGCCATCAGAAAACTTATGTGAGGAATATAATATTATCTTCTCCTCCATACTGAAACTATAGAGCTCCAACCAACTTACAGGTGGCTGCAATATCACTGTAAAATTGCTCACAACACTCACTCACTCACTCACCTCAGGTAGAGTGAGTGAGGAAGTAGGGTTTTACTCTACGTTTACAATTTTTCACCAACATCACTGCAGATGAAATAGACTTCTTACATTTTACTGGTGTTGGGAACAGAACACAGGGTCCAATGCTGTGACAGTCTTCAACATTTCACCATGCAAGTCAAGGGGTCCTTGTCATGACTCTAATGTTGAATGTTAGAGGTTGATGGGGTCGATCCCTGGCCCCGTCATACATAAAGACGTTAATAGAAGGTACTTGTTGTTACCCTGTCTGGCGCTCGGCATTAAGGGCCTATAACAAGGATTGGTCGGCTCGGAGTCAGTATGCTGTGTCTGAGAGGAGTATTCATGTTAAACTGCGGCATGGTATCTCTGTGGAACAGAACTATAACTCAGCATCAGTCCGGACTAGTGCAAGCAGCCACACTTACACACACTCACAAGCATGCACGTCGCTGTATAAGTGCAATACTCTTGGACAGGACGTTACACCACATAACCACCTCACCCACCATGCCATGATATTGCTTGAATATTACCAAGTGTGGGGTAACACCTTCTCCTCAAATGCTCACCTGGACTGTGCTCGTTACAGGTGAGACTACAGACAACGACGTTGTCCTGTCTACAGCGACCAGTAAGATGCAGCGAAATCACAACATCAGTCATGTGACCATTCAGGTGGAGAAGTACGACAGAGAGATCATGTCTTCCTGTGAACAGTGCCAGGAGCCCAAGAAATAGGGGTCTCATACCAGAAGAAAGTATAAACCAGAGAGTCTATATTTCTATAATGATATCGAAGGAAAGTATATTTTATATCACTCTGCTTGTAGTACTTGTAGTCATGTTGGTAGTGGCCGCTTCAGCAGGCAGTATCCTCAGCAACATGGAAACATGCGACATCCAGTGTCCTGAGCACAGGAACACAAGGATCTTGTGAACAAGTCTAATGCTGCAACAGCTCCAACAGCTCCTGTCAGGAATGTTCACAGGAACGTTCCATCTCTCATGTGACAACTGTCTTAGAACATGGGACTGATGCAGCTTCATGTCCAGTTATAATGTTGTCCTTCAGAGAGTAAATACAGAGCAATGCATTTCTCCAACAGAAATCTGGAAATATAAGACCTCCCTCCGTGTCCAAGTGACTTGTTAAGACGAATGGCTGATCAAAACCCACAAAGCCAGCATTCCTCATGTCAGTATTGTCAGATGTCAGATGGTACCAGTCATGTAATGCTGCTAGACATGGCAGTTGAACTGTATTTATGACATGGAAACACCAATAATGTTTACCTTTCTACATATCATGGTCGGGTCAGCTCTTAGAATACCAGTTTGATTTAAGGATGTTGCCCCTGTCACGTCAGCGATCGTCTTTGGGGAATCCATTTGGAAATGTAACTAATAAATTACATCGTTTATTGATTCAACAATATGACATTTCTCATGATCACTATTTTTTAAGATGTGTTAATGGTGTTTTCTTGCCATTATGTAATACCTCACATTACAGTATAAGAATCTGTAACCATGGTAACCAGAAATTTCAGTATGCATATACACAAATAAATGACGGCCAGTGGCTCCATGCAGCACTGCAGCTTGTACCGAGAAATAAGACCGACTGTGATTCCATACCAAACAGTGTGGTATAACCCTACTTCTAAGTGTAATCTTGTACCCGGTAATATAACCTTATAGTCAATGCTGATATTTCATTTGCAATTCTGGACATTGCACGTTCTTCACTTACAGTGTTGATCAAGATTGCTCAGTTTTTTTGTGTTGTTTGATGCTATTTTAGCTGCATGCAGGTAAACGTGCATATTATAATTTTTATGAAGATATGGATGTGAAAAATGCAAAATGAATATCAAGCCATTGTGAATTAGGGCTAAGATGGGTAACTCGGGTCCTGAGTAGGACCTGGATACCCACAGGATTCCCCGGACCAATGGTTAGTCACATGATATCTAGTCTAATGACAATAACATTGTTACAATAAAACGCCATGGTTACACTACAAGTCACGTGATATATTGGTTAATGACAATAACATTGTTACAATAAAACTCCATGGTTACACGACGAGTCACTGATGTTTGCATTCCTTCTGACTTTTACGTTATGGCTTCAGTCAACATCAGTATACATGATCAACTCGTTTTATTTGTGTATCTAAATAGTTTTGCGAGGGCTCCAGTGATCATAATTTGTTCCTAACTACTGAGAACTACAGCGGGTACCCAGGTAGGGTCGGATAATAGGGGATCAGGTAATAGGGGGTTCAGGTAATAGGGGGTTCGGGTAATAGGGGGTCAGGTACCTGGGTAGGGTCGGGATAATAGGGGGTCGGATACCTAGGTAGGGTCAGGTAAAAAGGGGTTGGGTAATAGAGGGTCAGGTACCACCTGGGTAGGGTCAGGTAATAGGAGGTCGGGTACCACCTGGGTAGGGTCAGGTAATAGGGGGTCGGGTACCTAGGTAGGGTCAGGTAATAGGGGGTCGGGTACCTAGGTAGGGTCAGGTAAAAGGGGGTTGGGTAATAGGGGGTCACGTACCACTTGGGTAGGGTCAGGTAATAGGAGGTCGTGTACCACCTGGGTAGGGTCAGGTAATAGGAGATCGTGTACCACCTGGGTAGGGTCAGGTAATAGGGGGTCAGGTACCTGGGTAGGGTCAGGTAATAGGGGGTTGGGTACCTAGGTAGGGTCAGGTAAAAGGGGGTTGGGTAATAGGGGGTCGGGTAAAAGGGGGTTGGGTAATAGGGGGTCGGGTACCGCCTGGGTAAGGTCAGGTAATAGGGGGTCAGGTACCTGGGTAGGGTCAGGTAATAGGGGGTCGGGTACCTAGGTAGGGTCAGGTAAGAAGGGGGTTGGGTAATAGGGGTCGGGTACCACCTGGGTAGGGTCAGGAAATGGGAGGTCGGGTACCACCTGGGTAGGGTCAGGTAATAGGGGGTCGGGTACCTAGGTAGGGTCAGGTAAGAAGGGGTTTGGGTACCTGGGTCGTAAGTTTGGACTCATCCCAGCCCAGTTATGAATGTTTAAACTTTTCAAGAATTTTTTTTTGTTGGAAAATGTTGATAATTACACCCAAAACCTCAACCTCCAATACCACCATCACATTTTGTACTTCAGTTGTATTTGACTAGACTTTGAATGTTGTTGGAACATTCTCTTGCTTGAGGTAAAAAAACATCTTCGAAGAGTTGTTCAACTTGATGATTTTATGAGTGCTTCCATGGATCTGCCTTTATGCCTTCCGACACATTTTGTGCAAATGTAATACAAGAAGTCTTTATAAGTTCTGACATTGACAGGTCTACGGATGTCAAACCTGTGTAGGAGGCCAGGAAATCCTATCATAGGATGTCTATTTTTATAATACCTGATACAGTTGAATCTGCATTTCTGCTGAATATACACCACGCATACTGTAGGAGCCAGCAAGTCACACAACAGCCTTTGAAAGTCTACTAAGTTATAGACAAGTAATAATCCAATAATGGTAGTCCTCATTGACCAGTAGCATTTGAAGGCTGTAATTCTGAACCAGTTCAATGCTTCAAGTTTCCTACAAACTGGAACTGAATAAACCAACTGAGTAACCATAGCAAATATGTCATGTTGGTAGTGGCCACTTCAGCAGGCAATATCCTCAACAACATGGAAACATGCGACATCCAGTGTCCTGAGCACAGGAACACAAGGATCTTGTGAACAAGTCTAATGCTGCAACAGCTCCAACAGCTCCTGTCAGGAATGTTCACAGGAACGTTCCAACTCTCATGTGACAACTGTCTTAGAACATGGGACTGATGCAGCTTCATGTCCAGTTATATAATGTTGTCCTTCAGAGAGTAAATACAGAACAATGCATTTCTCCAACAGAAATCTGGAAATATAAGACCTCCCTCCATGTCCAAGTGACTTGTTAAGACGAATGGCTGATCAAAACCCACAAAGCCAGCATTCCTCATGTCAGTATTGACATCAGATGGTACCAGTCATGTAATGCTGCTAGACATGGCAGTTGAACTGTATTTATGACATGGAAACACCAATAATGTTAATTTTCTGCATATCATGTTTTGTCTTGTTCAAGCAGGACTAGCTACAAACTCTTGAGGACTAGTGAAATAAGGCTTGCACTAGTTTCACTAGTCCTCTGGACTTGTCATGAAATTGCTAGCATGTTTCAAAGCCAGGTGTTGGCCAAGCTGTTTCTGAGCAGTGGAGATTAACGGGACATGTACACACCAAATTGTGATGAGAAAAAAACTGGAGTTTGTTGTATTCAGTGTTGACTGTAATTATCCATATGACTTGTTTTGCTCTCCTGACTAAAAGTCAAGTGAGATTTTATCAATGCCTGATGATCCGGCGTCAGTGTCGGCATTGAAAACAAAACTTCACTAACTTGTTCCCACCTGTTCCCACACCCATTTTGTTCAAGAGGTTCGAATCTGATTTTCAATATGGCCTCCACAGCAATTTTTAATTTTGTGTGTGTGATATCTCCTCTTCCGACTTTTCCACACATGATAAAAGGAAACTAAACTTAGGCTTGTATGTTTCTTGTTTTAAAGTCATATTTCTTTCCAATCCATAGATTGTTTGTTTGTTGTTTAATGCCGCACTCAGCAATATTCCAGCTATATGACTGCAGTCTGTAAATAATCGAGTCTGGACCAGACATTCCAGTGATTGACATCATGAGCATCAATCCACATAATTGGGATGCTATTACATGCATCAACCAAGTCAATCCTTAGAAAAAGTGTTAGTTTATGGTCTGGCTATTTTTACAGAAACATTTTGATATCACTGCTGTGAGCAATTTTTATTTTAAGTGACTGTCTTTGTTGACATTTAAAGCTGTTGACTTAATATCCAGGTGAGCTACAGAACCTGGGCACTATTTTTTCAATTTTGTAGTTTATCAAACATGTACATATGATATATACCATGTTATATTTTCGTAATTACCTGTTCTCCCCCGTTATTGATCTGAATATAATATTCTGGTGTTCTTGATTTATACTCCTGGATGCAAGAACTATACTTATCTAGTTACTTCATGAGCTGTACTTTCTATGTTGCCATAGTAACCAAGTTGATATTATTAGAATGCCAATTCAAATGAATATTCATTTGTACATTCATCTGTTAATCTTTATAAACACGCATTTCATGTTTGGTGACATGTTTTCATAGAGAGATGATTATGCCAGAGTTGCCATGCAACAATAAAAAAAAGAGGCATATTACTATGGTAGTGCAATTTAATTTGTATATCATCCAACATAAGACTTCAGAAATTTAACCCAGGGCCTTCATTTTTAGTAAATGTATTTAGTTTATTTATCATATATACCAGTCCCAAATTGACAAACCAGTTAGGTCTTGTTTCAGGTATGTGGTCTGACATTGCATGAGGGCAGGTTTGACCGGAGGACAGTGTTGGAATATTGTTGTGTATGTTTATATACTGTTGAAGGAGCAGGATCAGAATTGCACAATGAATGATGTTGTTTATCTGACCTGTGTGCGATTCTCATCTTTTTTATAATGACCGCTGATGACCGTTAATTAATAAATAAACCAAACAACTCCCTCAACACTCACACCTCAACACTCACACCTCCATTGGCATTCATTCCAAATCACCAAATTAAAAACTCCTATATAAGCAACCCCTAAACCCCCCTCCTGGGTTGCACAAATCCCTTCCTTCATATTTTTTGGCAAATACATTAAATGGCCTGGCGGGCCCGTGTGCGACATACGCTTGCAGTCGGAAAGCGCACGTAAAATCCCCAACTTCAGTCAGTCAATCACTTACTGTACACCCCTGTCTATAATGCAAATATTTGGTCCCTAGAATGTGAGGGGTATATAAATAAGCATGTTGTACAAAACCTGGGGAAGAACATCTCACATATTTTTCTAGCTGTTTCAGGTTCCGTAAACAACCAGTGTTTGATAATTCCTTTCTCCATATCAAAGAGAAAGCATATTTTTCAAAGTGGCAACTCTGATCTTGCACCTTAAACCTTGTTGACGAACGGATGACATAACCCAACACCAGTTCTCAAGATGTAATTTATTAGACTGTTTCAGATAAGCATAGCTCATAGCTACCTACATTCCATGTTGACTGTTTACTTGTTTATTTTACATCGTTTTGTTCAGCTTTATGTACTTCAGTTTATACAGGTACAATTTGTGCTCACTTATTCTCAAGTGTATTTCTCAAAATGTCTTCGTGAAATACGTCATAGATCTGCAATATATGTTTACACTGCCTTTTAAGCATGCATGTAGATTAATTGGAAACCAGCATTCTATTTTTAGGACAAAAAATGATTTGTGACATTAAATGACATTATAAAGAGGTTCCTGAACCAGAGGTTGGCTTTAATGGCGAAGAATGTCATAAAAGAATACCGTATTCGACGTAATAAGCGCCCAGGGCGCTCTCAAAATAAGAAATAGGGGGATCTTATCAGAATGTTATTTTGCTGGAAAAAACAGAGTTGAAAGATAAATTTCGTGGTTTATGCCGACAGCCTGAAATGTTTATGTACGACAGATATATTATTCCAGAATTAAATGCCCATAATTAAGGGTGCATAAAACACACGAGTGCATATTATACGGGAATAAATAAGTCGTGTGTACATTGATCACTCGGAAGGGGTGCTGATTGGGATTGTTCAATAGCCAATATCTTAGCAAATGTCGCCGTGGGCGCTTATTAGAGCGGGGCGCTTATTACGTCGAATACGGTATGCTAAAGATGGTGCAAATAAACCAAAATGTCTTGTTGGAATTGTACCCATACTGGACCGATTAACCACGGTACCATTGGGACATATTCATCACCTGAGACTCATGTACCATGGGAATCTGAGAAGATTTCTCTTGTTTAGATGGGAATATCTGTTAGAAAAATACTAAATATAATGCATTACTCCTGGATTTCTTTCTTTTATATTTGGCATCTGCTGAATAGAAATATACTTGAAAAACAGCAAGATATTATCAACATGTATACTTCTTTTTTGAGGTTCGAAGTGAATCTGTAGATGTTTTGTATGATTTAGTATGTTTACAATTGTTTTGTGTGTTTGATATGTGATATTTTCTGTTTGTTTACAGGTGTATTTTTAGTCTCTGATAATCATTTAGGAGTTGAAGACCATGAAGATATGAGACGTTTTCTGGATAACAACTTCTCCTTTGTTTGTAACAATGTTTCAGGACTACTTCTTGCTCCTTTACCAGGTGAATACTGATAAAGTTGTTATCCATAAAAAGTGTCATATCTTCAGGTGAATTTTTATTATCTTTTCCAACGAGTGATAATACCGTATTCGATGTAATAAGCGCCCTGCTCTAATAAGCGCCCACGGCGATATTTGCTAATATATTGGCTAGTGAACAATACCTGTTAGCACCCCTTCCGATTGATCAATGTACACAACACTTAATTATTCGCGTATAATACACATTCGTGTGTTATATGCACCCTTAATTATGGGCAATTAAATTCTGGAAAAATGTATCTCGTATATAAACATTTCAGGCTGTCAGCATAAACCACAAAATTTATCTTTCAACTCGTTTTTTTTCTCCAAAATAATTTTCAAATAAGAGCCCCCTATTTCTAATTTTGAGAGCGCCCTGGGCGCTTATTACGTCGAATACGGTATGTTCCATCTGAAGGTGACAAGATATGACAGCAAAAAGCATTTCAAATCAGTATGACATGAGTTTGTAATTCACTTGAATTTGATAATAGAAATGCTGGTGCTTAGTATACTGTGTCTATTGTCTACTCGTCATTTCTTGTTAGTCCACGATAGATGTCCCAGTGTGGCTTGTACCTGTGTTGTGACATAGGCAGCTACAAGGTGTCTTGGACGTATTGTGAGTCAGCGTCTGTCTCATATTGCCTGTATGGGGGACATTGTGTTTTCACAAATGTTATTTCAAGCTGCTAATGTAAAACATGAATTCTTGTTTTTTTTCATCTTTTAGCTTACCTGACTGTCAAGGGAGCTTATATTGTAGTGTTGTCTGTCTCCCGGTTGTCTGTGCGTTGTTAATGTCTCTGACGTCTCCTGAAAGTACATGGCCCTGAGCTTACAGGGGATTCCAATCCGAATTTTGTCCATTGCTCAGCTATCTCGACAGTAGGGCTGGGACGGGTAACTCGGGTACCCGGGTCGGGTGGGTACTGAGTAGGACCCGGGTACCCACAGGACTACCCGGACCCGTGGTTAGTCACGTGATATATTATTTAATGACAAAAAATTATCTAGAACTCTACGGTTGCACTATAAGTGACTAATGTTTGCATTTCTTTTAGACTATGCACACATTCCTTTTGACTTTATATGTATGATTAAAGATAAAACTTCAGTCAACTTAAGTTTATTCGAGACGTGTATCTATCGTTTTGCCAGGGCTACGGTCAAACTATTCCCAGTTGGACATTTGGACCTATCTCTTGAGACCTACAGCTGGTACCTGGGTAGGGTCAGGTAATAGGGGGTTGGGTACCCGGGTAGTAAATTTGGACTCGTCCCAGCCCTACTCGACAGGCATCATTTTATAATCTGACATGCAGCAAGTATGTGGTATGTGAAATAACAGATACAGTTGAACCTTAATGTGTCAAACTGGTGAGGACCTAGGGAAAGTTCAACAGTGTGAATTTTCGAAAACCAAAACATTATCTTATGGAAACATTAAACGTTATCTTGTCTTCTTTGGACTCATACGTTTATATGTCAATAACCATATTGTAACAAATATTATAGTTATTCCCTGGCCAAACCAGGCATTTCGCTAAGTAGCTCAACCATGTTACTGATTTTGATTAACTTCTGACAATCTTATAAGTCATATAAGGAAGAGAATTTATGGATGTCAACTCCTTTATTATTAGGAACACAATGTTTCAGAGTCTATACTTACTCCTTCATCAGGCCCACTTGCACAAAGCGATCTTAGCGCTAAGATGATCGTAACTCCCATTCTTTAACATAGGTTTAAAATAGTTGTAGCACTAAGATGGCTTTGTGCAAGTGGGCCCTGGTGAATAGTGAGTGAGTGAGTGAGTGAGTATGGTTTTACGCCGCTTTTAGCAATATTCCAGCAATATCACGGCGGGGGACACCAGAAATGGGCTTCACACATTGTACCCATGTCGGGAATCGAACCCGGGTCTTCGGCGTGACGAGCGAACGCTTTAACCACTAGGCTACCCGACCGCCCCGCCCTGGTGAATAAATGCTGAGGCAGAGAACATATATATATGTATAAAAACATCAAACGTAATAAGATAACAAATGTGGAAACTTACCAAGGGATCCAACAGATAATTGGCGCTGATAGGTGATTAGCAAAGGACAAATGGAAGCCAACACTAAACGGTAAATTAGTGCTGATAGTGATGGACAACTGGAGCCTGGGCTTAAATCATCACTGACTGGTAATGGGCAATGGATAATGGATAATGGGCAAACGTAATAAAGAAGCTGACATCCATAAATTCTCTTCCTTATGTGTATCACTTCTAAATGACTTTCAAAGACTTTGGAAGTCAAAGCTGAAATAGTAGATTCAGTAACATAATCTAAATAAGGTTTACTTATTTCACAGTTTACACGTGTCAATGGCAGTCTCATGAAGACAGTTGCTGCCAATATGTCTACAGTAATCACCTTGCACCTTGATGTCAGGTGTGCTTGTTGATTGGGCTTGATTATTAGCATGTTGTGATGTAATTGCGACAATCGCAGTGAGGCCAGTCAATTATGTGTGAAGTGACATTGGGTCTGTGGATGTTTATTTTTGTTTTGAACTATTACAGTCATCAGGGGAATTTTTATAATATAATATAATATATATAATATAATGTTTATGTTAATGCACCAAAGTGTAACATTGTATAACTGTTTTGACCTTCAAAGGAGGAGTAATTTCCATGACTCATGAAGATGATCTTTTGCTGCCAGTACATGGTTTGCGGACTTGAGCCAAAATCCACAAGTCAAAGAAGAAATGTAGAATGTTTTTCTGTTTATAACTCCAATCTAATTCCTTACTTGATAATAAACATAGAAATATACAAGAACAACAGACAACAAGAGATACTGTTCAATTATTTTCCTATTTTTAATTATCATTTGTGATGAGACAGCAGACTCTTCACCAGAGAAAATATGTAGCGGTGTATTGTCAACTGTTTGGTAGGTTTTTTTTGCTGAACATAGCAGATTGACTTACACAGTGTCATGCAAAATAAAATATGAAATATTCAGATTCTCATTATTTGTTTCCTTATTATTTTGACCAAACTAAGCCTACGACACAATGAGAATAAGGATTCACCCTTGATTCAGGAGGATGAGGACTGAGCGTATCACTTGTGAGTGTTTCAATAGCCTTCCAGTTACACTACAGCATGTCAGCTTCATGTGTGAGGAGAGCTGACAGCAATGCAAGTCGAGTAGATCACCACTTCTGACAATTAGCTCACCTGGAGTTAAGGGCCATATAAGCCTATGGGATGATGGGTTGTCCAGCGTCTGTCTGTTCTGTAACTTTTCCCCAGGCCAGCTGAAGCAATGAGCTTGAAACTATAGATCTCTAGCACCATATAATAGGACTTATTAATGAAATGAAATTAATTAATTCTTGCGAATCCTCTACCTCTATTAAATCTTTGCCATAAATCCTGTATTTTGGCTTCAGTCACACTAACTAAATTTTCAGATTTTCAACAGACGTCCTCTTCACTTTCAATTACAGACAAATAGTTGTTCCCGAATAGCACTATAGCAACCCAAGCTATGACGTGTGCAATGGCGGGAACCTCACTTCTTTCCAACATCTAACCACTTTTTCGTAAGCAGTGCGAAAACAACTGCCAACTCTTGACAGTATCTATAACATGATCAAAACTGATTTGAGTTATGAGCGTTCTAGAGAGAGCTTACCACTAAACCACATGGGATTTAGAAGGCGTAAAACGCTGTCAAATCAACGGAAAGATATTGTTACAAAGCGCATGCAGTATATATTAGGGGTAACGATTGGTCTGGAATCAGTATTGCGATAACTGTTGATATTGCAAGAAATTATTACGATAAATATCGATAGTTTTCAGTGTATCATCTTAGATGGATTTTAGAGTAAAATTAAACATTGGAACTGAAGTTTCCTTTGATTGTGATAACCATAACAACAAATCAAAAGTAAAGTTTAAGATATGACTGATTTGCTTTTTCTTTACCCTAATAATTTAAGAAAAAGAAACTTCCACATTACCATGTGTAAATTACTACCACTCATGATCAAAAGAAAAACAAATTTGAACAGCATTTAACTCAATCGCATGATATAGTAAATACAAACGAAACTATAGATATTCCTAACTGAAATCGATAAAATTGATCCACAACTGATTTAACAATCGATTCATTGACTTTACGTTCTTACCAATAGCATTATATCGATATTTCGATTTATCGTGACACCCCTAGTATATGTACTTCTGTTCAGGACCCGTGAAGATCTGGGATAGAATACGTCTTCAGCAACCCATGCTTGCCGTAAGATGCGACTATGCTTATCGCAAGAGCTAGGTGACTAACGGGATCGGGTGGTCAGGCTCGATGACTTGGTTGATGCATGTCATAGAATCCCCATTGCGTGGACAGATGCCCCTGATGTCAATCACTGGATTGTCTGGTCCAGACTATTATTTACAGACCGCCGTCATATAGTTGGAATATTGCGGCGTTAAACAACAAACAAATGAACAAATCTACTACTACTACTACTACTACTACTACTACTACTACTACTACTACTACTCTTGTTGCCATATGGCTGAAACTGAAATAATGCCGATGCGACTTTAAATTATGACCCACTACTACTCTTGCCGCAGCTCCCACTGATATCTGCACATTACGTTAGAACAGACTATAAGTAAGCCACGCCGGTTCAAGGCTGTGTGGGGAAAATCCGTGACGTCAGTTCCGGTTTGAAATTCACGCAGAACTGGGAAAATTTGTCTGTCAATCACAGCTTCAAAACCATGTTTGCGATCAGACAGTTATCAAGAACTGCGTTCGGCTTCGTCGCTAAACAGACGGAGAAGGCCATTGTGACTCAGGCGTGTCGTTGCACATACGTGACACACACGCGAGGTAAGAGAAACCATTATTGAAGCCACAAATCAATTCAGTCTTGAGAACACCCCTTCTGTAAGGGACGGTATCAGGAGTAAAAAGATAGAATTTCTTTTTTTCCTCCGTGCAAATGCATGCAAATATATAAAAAACAGCCCATGCAAGTCTATAATGTTTGGCAAGTCTAGATTACTGCAGACCGTCCTGAAAAACCGTTTATTTGACTGCGCCCTATTATCTGAATACGAAGAAATTCTCTGGGCTCCTTTTTATTATATTTAAATTAAGATAATTGAACAACTGTTTTTTTTCTGTACGATATGTTCATTTCAGAGACTAAATGTTACTACCAGGGGACATATAACCTATAAGCTGCATGGGTATATCCTGCCAATGGAAGATTGTCACTTCTTGGCAGTTAGATTAATCAGTTAGTAAAATTAATATATGGGTAACGCTATTTTTCAGGGCATTATCATTTGCAGAAGCCCGGGGTCTTCCATTAACTGCCCGACGAAGGAGGCCATGCAGTTGAAAAGACCGAGGGCTTCCGCAAATGATAATGCCCTGAAAAATAGCGTTACCGTTATCATAGCTGAAACGGATGGAATTTATCAAATAAAAAGACAATATCGGTTTTGAAACATTTACTGCAATCAACACCAATGTCACTGACCAACTTTTACAAATATCGAAACAAACCAGATGACGTCACTATTGAACGTGACTTCACCTATCCATATCCTATGACGTCACCCAACAACGGACGTGATAAAAGCCCGTCGTCAAGCAATATGAGGGCAATATCTAGTTACAGTGGCCCGCTCATTTTTTATAAAATGCGGGCGGTTTAATGATAATTCTATCCATTTTAGCTATAATAAAGTACAAAGGCGTTAATCAGTAAAGTTAATACGAGATATCGTCATAATCCCGTGGGTATTCAGGGTTAGAATTGGTCTAACCTAACCTATGCTGGTTGAATTGTAAGAGGTGACTTCATTGATCGAACGGTCAGGTTCGGTGATTGGTTAATTGCGTGCCATCATACCCCGACGGTGTGGATCGGCGCTCACAATATCAATCACTGGATTATATGGTCCAGATTGAATTATTTACAATCCGCCGTCGTGGAACTGAGATGTAAATACGTATTTTGCATAAATAGATACAGCTCAAGAAAAACGATGGGGTGGATTCATACTTCCGTAGGATTAAGTTTGACCATTTAAACACCCACAAAACAGTATTTTATATTATGTACGTATCAAGTATTTCTCACAGTGAACATGGGTAACTGTAGAAAGTGCAACAAAATCCTTTCCATATTCATAAGAAATCTCTGCTTAAAGCAGAGTCGAGTGTACGATTCCGACTTTATCATGACCAGGTGTTAAAACAATAGATTTTCTGCCACTAAGCATTACCCAAATAAGGACTTAACTGGTGAACATGTGGTAGTTTGGGAAATAGTCAGAAGCAGACCTTTAGAGTGAGTACGTAGTGTTTGAATAAACATTACGGATTTTTAAATGTTGTTTATCTTATACATATTGTTTTTGCAGTATTTACATGTAAGGTTTTTTAGGGTGTTACTGTACTGTCAAGTCGAGTCTGTATTTCGTATGAAAGCCACGGACCCATATACATGACAATCACAGTAATTATACACCAAGGTCTATCACATCTTCGCAGTACTTCACAATTTCCAGATAATAGCATTTGAAACTTATTCAGGGTTGGATATTGACAATACAGTTTCGGTAAGTAATATTCTCTGATATTCTTGCAACTTTGCTATTTAGCATCTTCTTCTGAAGGCAATGTTCCGCTTCTGAAGTTGGCAAAAATAGTTTAAGATACTATACCACACAAAAGAAGTTAGAGAGCACCCGATTCTGTCATATTACTATTGTTAATCTGTCTTTCCATGACAGGTTAACTATAAAATATGAATGTATTGGATGTTCTTTAACTTATTTTGTGTGGTGTACCTTGCGACCTGCAAATAATAATGAGTACACAATACTCTATGCACAGAATGAGTTTTGTAAATTGCCCGTGTCTTTCTGCTTGATAGCATACTATATATACATGACGTTTTGTTGCAAAATAATGCTATACCAGCGTGACATCAAACTAGAACGACACGCTGTTGTTTTGTAGAGTATACATGCGATATGACCCCAAGACAACCTGGATCTGATCCAGGTTGTATGCACATGTCAGACGGCGGGTATTTTCCACATGGCCCCCTGTCTATAGTGTGTTTCACTATTTAGGTCATTGTGTACAAGCCTGGAGTTGGTAGAGGGTCCATTGATCCGAGCAGTTGTGAGTCGTCTTACTCTGAAGGTTATTGCTTTGTTACACAAATATGGTCTCTGTCATTAGTATTGTTGGATACGTCGTAACAGATGTTATTACCTTCGTGTTTCGACCGGCTCCGTGTTCTAGTGGTAGAGCGTCCGCCCGGAGTGCGGAAGGCCCGGGGTTCGATCTCCTGCCGCGTCATATCAAAAGACGTTAATAAATGGTACTTGTTGTTACCCTGTCTGGCGCTCGGCATTAAGGGGCTAAAACAAGGACTGGTCGGCTCGGAGTCAGTATACTGTGTCTGAGTGGGGTATTCATGTTAAACTGCGGCATGGTATCTCTGTGGAACAGAACTATAACTCAGCATCAGTCCGGACTAGTGCAAGCGGCACACATACACGCACACTCAAGCATGCACGTCGCTGTATAAGTGCAATACTCTTGGACGGGACGTTACACCACATAACCACCTCACCCACCATGCCATGATATTGCTTGAATATTACCAAGTGTGGGGTAACACCTTCTCCTCAAATGCTCACCTGGACTGTGCTTGTTACAGTGAGCTAGCACTATAAATCGGCATCAGTCTGGACCAGTACAAGCAGCCGGACACACACTTGCATGCACGTCGCTATATAAGTGCAGTAATCTTGGACGCGACGTTTAAACCCCAGTTTCACCTCACTTCCTTCGTGTTTCAAAACCTTTCACAGATTCACGCATGTGCGAGGATTTAAGTGAGTGAGTTGGGTTAAACGCCGCTTTTAACAGCATTCCAGTTACACCACGGCGTGTCAGCTTAATGTGGGAGGAAAGCTCGAAGTGATGCAGGTCTCAGACGTTTACCACTTCGGTGAAACCCACGAGCACGGGTATGGTGCTGACAAACCTAGAAACATAATCGGGGCGAACCGGGATTCGAACCCACAATCATAGGTTTCTGGCGTGCCCAGGGGACGCAACTCTGCACAGCGAATCGCGGCGTCTTAGACAACTGGGCCACCCGTGCCCCCACGAGGATTTAAGAGTCGGGGCACATGTATGTCTTTTAGACAAAGTATCATTTACCGTTAGAGGAAAGGGGAACTGGGTTATGATTAAAATATCCCCTTCCGAGTGATTTTTTCATCAAATCATCTCCATATTGGCACGGTGAATAGTTTAAATCAGCTTTTTTTTAAACATTTTCTTCTTATTAGAACATCAACGAGATTGAGACATTAACTTGTCAACACGCACTTAATTTTTTAGGATGTTTTTCAACTTTAAAAGACGTGGAGCCGGACCCCTCAAAGACATCTAACTCTTACTGGGTGAAGAAGCTGACCCCCGAACAATACAACGTCACAAGGGAAAAGGGCACTGAACCGGTAGGTCCCTGCTTGGTGCTGCGTGGCCAGTGAACTGTGACCGGCGTTGTCATAGTGCAGTATCTGATTATGAATATGATTTCAGACGTTGATTTTCTGCATATTCCTCCGATCCGACGGTTTGTTTGGACGTCAATTTGTTTGCACTACATAAAATATCTTCTAAAAACACAAGTTGACGCTTTACATGCTTGTTTTCACCAATTTTACGACACCCCATGCAAACTGTTCAAATGGTTAAAATCCGATTGTAGATATGTCTGTCACAGTAGCCATGTTTGGATTTTTTGCAGACATTACGCAGCAATTTTTCAGAATGTAATGTTGTTGACTACATATCCAGGTGAACTACAGTGCGTGGCTTCTGGTGTCCCCCGCCGTGATATTGCTGGAATATTGCTAAAAGCGGCGTAAAACCATACTCACTCACTCACTCACTCACTACAGTGCGTGGCCCTATTTGTATGTATTAGTATGGGTAATGGTATGATGTTTGACGTAAACATGGGGTTAAATTTTTTTATTAATGTCGCAAAAATATACAAGCAGTTTGTCGTGATTAGGACGGCAATATCTTAAAATCAATTATTTTGCTCCGATACAATACCTCTCTATTAGAGTAAAAGATTTGAATGAGATCGGCGGAATAATACACACCAAGAGACGTAACGTATATTGGTTGTTTTCATTCGTGACGAATTCGTGCCATTCTGGCAAGTTCCGGAAACATTCGAGTGGTGACGAATGAGTAGTTGTGTTTCTGATCACAAAAGAAAAGGGAGACGTTTGAAAATTGTACGTGACAGTAATGCAGATGTCTTAAAGCTTACTTAAAATTTACTTTCTTTACTATTTTTAGCCTTTTACCGGAAAGTATGTGTACCACAACGAGAAGGGAAGCTACACGTGTGTGTGCTGCGAAGCGCCGCTCTTCAGGTATATTTATATACGTCACACAAGGGAGACTATACAACGATCTAAAGAGACACCCTGGTCACACTAACCCACGGATTGTAATTTGAATGGAGCCTGGTTTCCTGGGTTTGCTGCGCTTGCGCTACGTGTAGCGGAAAGGCAGACTACCCATGGCACCAGGCTTAAGGTTGTGGTATCACCATAAGCTGGTTCCCGGCTCCCTATGCGCGTCGTCGATAGATATTAGAGACGGGGCCCAGCTTAGTATCACCATCCACCGTACATATTAACCGCGATAAAAAACAATTCTTTGCATCTTGTGATCTGAGTTAGAGTGTTAATCATATGGGCTTACCACATCCTAACTAATGCCATGTCCTAGTACTAGCTAAGTTAGCCCATGTCACTCATTCACTATTTAAATATTCTCACATGACTTGAATCCTGGATGGAATTTATTTCTGGTCATTGGTGCTGCTCTATAACCGACGCTTCTCATACTAGAAAATAGTTCTGACAAGCGGATTGTTCGTGTACTCTACACAGCTCGTCCACCAAGTTTGATTCAGGGACAGGCTGGCCGTCATTCAGCGACGCCTACTACAAAGAGGGGCAGAGCAACGTCAGCTGTCGGTCTGACCTCAGTTACGGCATGGTGAGGACAGAGGCGTTATGTAAACAGGTAGGTTGCTGGGTGTGTTGTTTTAAGCTCACCTGAATCCCAGAATGTCAACATAATAATCACAGGTATCGAAGTTGCAGGTGTGTTAAATCCCAAGAACAATATAGAAGAAAAAGGGGTCTCGATCGTGGGTTCGAATCCCGGTTCGCCCCGAGTATTTCAGGTTTTGTCGGTACCCGTGTTCGTGGGTTTCGCCAAAGTAGCAAATGTCTGAGAAATGCAATAAACACTCTGTCTGTCTACATCACTTCGGACTTTCATCCCACATTATGTTGACACGCGTTGATACATCTGGAATTCCGTTCAAAGGGGTGTTCAACCAAACTCACTTTCTCACTCACTAACAAATGTACTGTTTGTTGTATATTTCAGTGTAACGCCCACCTAGGTCACGTGTTCGAGGACGGTCCGAAACCTACTGGAATGCGGTACTGCATCAACAGCGCATCTCTCAGCTTCAAGAAGGCCACGTGATACGCCCGGGCCCGTTATGGAACTACACAGGCACGATTGTAACGAACAAGAATACAACATGTTAACTGATTGTCCATATAATCTGAAAATATTCTTACGGTTAACGTGAATTGTATTGAGCGTATTTTCCTTGACGTAATTGACTCCAGTCAATTGAGAATAATATAACGTTGGATTGTTATATATTTGTAATTGGCATGGAAGTTGAACATATTTCTCGTGACAAGTTATTATTGTCAAAATATGTTTCGATGTGTAACTAATTGTTTTAATATCTGTTGTGGGCAAAGTATTTGCATGTCATTCATTATGTGTTGTAAAAAGCTGCTGTAATATCAGTTGAAAATTTTGCACAAGCGTGAGACCAAACTAGTTCACTGGGTCAGCTGTTTAGATAATTCTTGTATAGAGAGTATTGCATGTGTTTGTAACATTCTGCCTTCGCGAACGATTTTAGTAATTATACGAGTTCTCAGTGTCGTAAAATCAGCATAACACAGACCAATCTAATAATTTCTTTGTTTTGCATATTATGATAATTGCAAAGGCGAAGATCTGTCTTTGAAAATGTCGAGAATGTAACACTGTCCATATGACGTCAACAATGATAGACATTTTCGTCAACAATGATCTATAGTTCGCCAGCAATGTTGTCTGCATTATGTTACGTCAGCAATGATGTAGGACTCGGGAAATTATTATTATCCGTGAGTATTATATGGAGTTTTCTAAGTTACTGCTATGCGCCCCTCGTGGTTTACTCTCCCTGCAGTGTGTTATTGCACGATAAACAACTCCCACTCGTCATTTATTTCTTATTCGAGATATCAACATTATGTACAGCCTCTTTAAGTATGGTGATGAAATGTACAAGTTTAAAAAAAAAAAATTCCCGTATTTTAATAATGATGACGCCATCGATAGAATCCGACCTCGGCAATGTCGGACAAGTACATTTCACGCACAAGTGGGTATTTCCCGCATATTTTCACAATCCTTGCGTCGATTACCTGTACCTGTTCTCCCAATGACAATCGTGATATCTCTCCCGCTTTTGCATGCGATCGTTCGGACATCGCGTTTATCTGCGTTGACCAGGGACATCTATGGGGAACAACTCACTGGACAACCCCTCTGAAAATTAACGTCGACCAAATATACGACGTCATGAAGTTGCGGGCGCATGTTCGAGTCTCCAGCTTATCGTTGCGTTAGAACAATGTCGTGTCGTGAAATAAACCCCACTTCGTTCTTCATTGTTCTTTGTTTTATCGCGTAGCTGTCTCATATTTACCACTACTTCTCCTACTACTACTACTACTAGTAGTAGTAGTAGTAGTAGTAGTAATAATATATTAATAATAATACATGTACAGATATTTTGCCCAGAGCTTGGTTTGGTCATCCACAGTTCCTCAAACAGGGACCTGTAGCATTACGAAACTGTTACACAACATCTAGTCTGTTGTTTAACGTGGCACTCGTCAATACTCCAGCTGTCTGCCAGCGATCCACGCCGTCGGGGTATGATGACACGCTTTCAACCAAGTCACCGAACCTGACCACCCTATTCATTACGTTAGTTTGCTGGGGACCTATTACAATAAACGGGGTCCCCACAGACTCGTGCTTCTCGCTGATATTGTTGTGGTTGATTTTAACACAAGTCCGTGATTTGTGCTAGTAGCCTCCCCTGTAGCGCAGCACTGGAGAGCAATTACAGGTGAGAATACCACTCACAGACCGCCGCCATATGGCTGGTATAGTGCTGAGTGCGGCGTTAAACAACAAACAATGAGTTTATATATAGAGAGCCTTATTTGTCCATATTTGTCATTCTGATGATATGAATTGTTTTTTGAAGTTCAAGAAGTTGCAATGACCATGTCTACAAGAAACATGCAACAGACAATCTAGTTCCGTGTTACTCATCTTCCCGAGGCAAGGGAGGTAACTGACTACAAAACTTCCTTTTCTCGGGAAGATGAATGTTACTTTACCAGTTTATAGTTTCATCATTGTTTCATAATTGGCATCGTGTTGTTTTTACCATTGTTTATAACCAATATGATTTTTTCGCTTGTTTAATTTCGGTTCCCATTTTTCCTTCGGGTGGAACAAGTTGTTGCGCAACAGTTTGTCTTTTATGCTTTGTGATTACAATAAATACCATACTATGTTGCATCGTGTTGTCTGATTTTTCAGGATCTTTAGTTTGTGTGTCAGTGTACAAGGACTTCCACTCGAAGTTGATCCAGCCTAACGTTGTCAGGTCTTATCGATAATGTATCCTTCCGATTCGCCAGGGGGCGGTCGGGTAGCCTGGTGGTTAAAGCGTTCGCTCGTCACGCCGAAGACCCGGGTTCGATTCCCGACATGGGTACAATGTGTGAAGCCCATTTCTGGTGTCCCCCGCCGTGATATTGCTGGAATATTGCTAAAAGCGGCGTAAAACCATACTCACTCACTCACTCACTCACTACAGTGCGTGGCCCTATTTGTATGTATTAGTATGGGTAATGGTATGATGTTTGACGTAAACATGGGGTTAAATTTTTTTATTAATGTCGCAAAAATATACAAGCAGTTTGTCGTGATTAGGACGGCAATATCTTAAAATCAATTATTTTGCTCCGATACAATACCTCTCTATTAGAGTAAAAGATTTGAATGAGATCGGCGGAATAATACACACCAAGAGACGTAACGTATATTGGTTGTTTTCATTCGTGACGAATTCGTGCCATTCTGGCAAGTTCCGGAAACATTCGAGTGGTGACGAATGAGTAGTTGTGTTTCTGATCACAAAAGAAAAGGGAGACGTTTGAAAATTGTACGTGACAGTAATGCAGATGTCTTAAAGCTTACTTAAAATTTACTTTCTTTACTATTTTTAGCCTTTTACCGGAAAGTATGTGTACCACAACGAGAAGGGAAGCTACACGTGTGTGTGCTGCGAAGCGCCGCTCTTCAGGTATATTTATATACGTCACACAAGGGAGACTATACAACGATCTAAAGAGACACCCTGGTCACACTAACCCACGGATTGTAATTTGAATGGAGCCTGGTTTCCTGGGTTTGCTGCGCTTGCGCTACGTGTAGCGGAAAGGCAGACTACCCATGGCACCAGGCTTAAGGTTGTGGTATCACCATAAGCTGGTTCCCGGCTCCCTATGCGCGTCGTCGATAGATATTAGAGACGGGGTAGCCTGGTGGTTAAAGCGTTCGCTCGTCACGCCGAAGACCCGGGTTCGATTCCCGACATGGGTACAATGTGTGAAGCCCATTTCTGGTGTCCCCCGCCGTGATATTGCTGGAATATTGCTAAAAGCGGCGTAAAACCATACTCACTCACTCACTCACTCACTCACTCCGATTCGCCAGACATGTTTGCCTTTTTGCTTGTTGTTTAACACCGAGCACAGCAATATCCCAGCTATATTATTTGAAAAATCGAGTCTGGATTAGACAATCCAGTGATATTTTGAGCAACGACCAAATTCGTCGGTGCACGATGCCACGAATTCAGCATATGCAGCATATATGTATGTTTTTCTTAAGAACGGTTCCGGCATCTTCCCGAGGCAAGGGTGTTAACTGACTGAAAAAGTGCAGTTTCCACCCTTACCAAACCAGGCTGGAATTTTGGGGCTCGATTGTTGTGTCACCAGTGGCTATTATGAGTTATGTGCCTTCTTTGTCCCTCCTATTGACCAATCAGATTCCACCTCTCATATCAGTATCAAAGATGCTGGTTCGCCTAAGGGGCGCAACTCTGCACAACGTATTTTTTGTGCGTGACGCCTTGGACGACTGGGACCCTCAAGTCGAACTACATATTCAGTAAACTACGTTTATAACGAACACGCTTATAACGAACTGGCGGATACAACGAACTGTTTTTTGGTCCCGGTCATTTGCTGTATACATGCTGATAACGAAGTACGGTTATAACGAACTAAAATTTGTGGTCCCTTTCAGTTCGTTATAACCGTAGTTTACTCTACATGTATATGAGAAGTGTTTATTTCCAACATGCGACAAAACTTGTTGCACTCTCACTCCATGTCGCTGTGTGGAGCTTTAGGAAACACATGTGTACACAATAAATGATGAATAATCAGGTTGTATTGCATTGGTTATAAAATGCCGTTGCCAATCGGTTCAAGTTGAGAGTGTCAACATACTTATTTCTTTGTCAGAATATGAAAAAAAATAACAAAACACCAAAGTGCAATAACCAAAACAACATAGTACCCAGAATAACTCTTTAACTCACTCACTCATTCACACATTGTCACTCGGTGTGAATCGTGTAGTTTGTTTGTACCTGTTGAACGACTCTCAGGAGTTATGGTAACAAAGTGGAGCAGTCGGACATTTATACGGCGTTGATCCACTTGATAACACGTACCATGACGTAATCGGATTATCTCCGTTGTTGAGCAAGTATATGGGCCGTAGGCCCGAAAATCCTCTTACCTTAAGCCATTAAACCTCGTCCCTTCTTGGAGATGTATGAAGGGAAACCCACCATGTCGTGTACTCTTAGTTTTATATGAGTTTTTATCATTACAGATATGTGATAAGTTCATTTTATTTGAACTATTTAAATTAGGAATACGACGTAAAGTTTTAGCTGCATTGCTAACTTAAAGCTATACATGCATCTTACTACCAATAATAATAATAATAATAATAATAATAGTAATAATAATAGTAATAATTTATATGAATAATCAAGAGATTAAATATGTCAAAATATCGATTATCATACGATCAGTCCCTTCTAACGTTCCAAAGGAACCATTTACTTCTCAACTAAAAAGTTGACTGAAATTTTGAAAAAGTGTTAAGAAACCACAGAATGGATTGTTCTCCTTGTACATGTAGCTATAATTGTTTTAGGCACTAACCCTTTCAAATGAATGAAATATGAAATGACCATTTTCTTTTTGATATGTGCTGATATAAATCAACTTGAAATATATGACAGATTATAGGATTATGGGTACTTTATTTTGTCCGGGATAACATTCTGCCCGGGATGAAGGCGCGTGCACGGTTACCTGGCAACGGACATTCGCCCGTCAATGCGCGAGGCCAACGGTAGAGAGTGAACAGTTGTCGGTTTGTGTCTTGCAGTGTATATCGTGGTGGAATATAGTAACAAATCATGTATGAAGATGACAGATCATCGGAAGGCCCAAGGGGTACCTTTGAAATATATAAAGCAGAGGCTGATTCACTATTCAAACAGGGAGAATACAGAAAGTCCATCGAAAGTTATACGACGGTAACGTTTTCATTTTCACTGTGAACAATTTTGTCACCCGATCGAAGTTTTGACTCAGATTATGTTCGTATTAGATGAAGGCCTAATTGAAGTGCGTTGATGTTGGTTTTAATTACAAGTATGATGTCGCAAGATTTTATGTCACAATTTTGCATGCCACGTCCTCAATACATGTACAAAAAATATTGACGACAACTTCCTATAATAATTGACCAGTCCCTAAATAGCCTATTGTTCAAATTTATAACATTTCCATTTGAAAAAGTACAACCGTGTATTTTTTTCATTTAGTTGTGAAAAAATCCCTCCTCCCACCACCCCCACCCCCACTTTTGCTGTGTAAATTCTTCATGGACACCCCTCATATTTATGCCAGGCCAAGAAGCAAGAATATTTTTCTATGTGGCCTTATTAGATTTATAGTGGACAAACCTCCCTTTCCATATCCTCTGTATTATAAGTTTGATATTGCATTATAGTATTTTTACAAATGATATTTATTGAATGCTGGGATTAGTCATACAGCTTGAATTTTATTAGGACAAGTCGCAGCTTTAAATGGAAGGTGTTTGTGTACATCATTGTGAGGACTATTAACTGGGTACTGCGTGTCAGATCTAATTGTATATTTACCGAATTGTATATTGTAACATTGTGTGATTCATGTATTTTATAAGACTGGGAAATTGATCTACTTAAAAAATTAGGCAACATAATTTTACTGGCTGGCTGCAGCTGGTTGTCAATTAATGTAATACAATACACAATACACAATGCTAGTAATACAGGCTTTAATTAAATTTCAAACAATTATTTATCATGTTTATTTAATTGCTTTGTTATTGATTAGCTCATTAGTATAAGAATTCTGGATAAGTTGACACTGAGTAGCTTTGCCCATTGCCACTTAATGAGAGTTGACATTAGAGCTTTTCCAATTATTGGTTTTAATAGATGATTCCTTGTTTGTTTCAAATCACAAGTCCATTATTCACATTTTGAGGAATTTGATATTAATAAAAAAGTTCAATGTAAGCATTTAACATGAGACAATTTTACTGACAAGGAATAAGGGATGAACACCAAGCAGTGTTAAAAATTAAGTATCACACTCAAGTGGTCCTTATCTTAACTCCACCATTAATAGTTAAACATGTAGAGGGCTGTTTTGACATAATACATAAAATGATTTCAATTTCAGTTCATTCCAGTTTGACCAAATATACCCTTGGCCAGTTTGTCTATATTTTGTTTTATCTGGTATTATTAAAAAAATGTCTGGGAACATCTGCTTCAACTTCGCCTTCAAAAGGTGACAGGTTTGTTTGTGTAGAAGTAACTATCAGTGGATAAGAATGTAACTAAGTAAAGGTTCTCAAATTCAGGGATAATTCTAGGGAAGGTCCTTGTGCTTTTAGCCCCTAAGTGTGTAAAAAGCCCACATTTTCAAATACAAAGGTTCATTGAAACATTGTGCTGTGTGGGTGTACCTCTGGAATATTTGAAATTTTCACATAAAGGGCCCATGTCAGATAATTGCTAGAGTGTGTTACAAATGTTTCACTTGACAATTGTTGACAGGCATTGGAGCTTCAGAGAGGAGACAAGAGCTGCCTAGTTGCACGATCCAAGTGCCACCTACAGCTGGGTGATACCAAAAATGCCCTTGTTGATGCCGAGGCTTCTCTTGAGGAGGATAAGACTTTTCACAAGGTGAGTTTCTGAAATATGCTGAATATTTTGTCAGGCAAGCCTGTATGTTTTGCATTTACAAACTGGTCTAAATCTTGCACTGTAGCACAGTATTCAGTATTATTATTGAGAAATATCAGACACAGACCTAATTAATTGTTTGACTTGCTACAAGGAAGTGTTTGTTTTGTGTCTGTAATGATGGTCCTGTGTGGTACTGTTCAGGGAGTTTACCAGAAAGCTGAAGCACTGTACTACAAGGGGGACTTTGAGATGGCGCTGGTGTTCTACCACCGCGGTCACAAGCTCCGACCAGAGCTACAGGAGTTCCGACTCGGAATACAGAAAGCTCAGGAGGCCATTGACAACTCAGTTGGAAGTGAGTGACATGTTTATCCAGGTTGGGTTATTTTCTTAAAGGGCTATATTTTATGAGTGAGGTGACCTGTAGCCCCACGTCATATGTTTCTTATCAGGGACAACTGTTTCTTCTCTCACTGATTCACTTGTAACAGACATCAATGCCTATAGTCAGTGGTAAATGTATTTAGAGTTGTCTGCTCTTGCCTTGGAAAACAAATCCCCAAAATGTGGAGATGAAATGATGTCTGAATTCTAGCAACAAGATATTTTGATATCTGTCAGATGTATCAAGATGTAGATGTAAATTCAAGATCAATATGTTTTATGAAAAAGTATCCTATTGTCAATGATGTGATACTTCATCATATAGAAGGTGGGGCTGGGACGGGTAACTCGGGTACCCGGGTCGGGTGGGTACTGAGTAGGTCCCGGGTACACACAGGACTACCCGGACCCGTGGTTAGATATATTGTTTCATGACCATAATTCACTATATAACTACATGGTTACACGACAATTTTAAGTCTCTAATGTTCGCATTTCTTCATGACTATGAACACGTTCCTTCTGACTTAAATATGTTTGAACAAAGCTAAAACTTCAGTCAACTTCAGTGTATGCATGACCACATCGTTTTATACGTCTATCTAAAAACTTCCTGCCAGGGCTACTGTTAAGCTATTCCCAATCGGACATTTTGTACCCATCTCTTGACACCAACAGCGGGTACCTGGGTAGGGTCGGGTAATAGGGGTGTGGGTACCCGGGTAGTAAATTTGGACTCGTCCCAGCCCTAATAGAAGGGGTGGTTAAAGCGATTGCTTGTCATGCCAATGACCCGGGTTTGATTCTCCACAATAATATGGGGCAGTCGGGTAGCCTGGTGGTTAAAGCGTTCGCTCGTCACTCCGGAGACCCGGGTTTGATTCCCGACATACGGTAGGTACAATGTGTGAAGCCCATTTCTGGTGTCCCCCGCCGTGATATTGCTGGAATATTGCTAAAAGCGGCGTAAAACAATACTCACTCACTCACCCACTCTCCACATTATTTAGAAACTAAGCACACTTTTTCGGAATAATTTCAAATCGTATTTACTTGCAGCTCCAGAGAAAGTAAAGCTGAACACCTCTGGAGACCTGTCATTCTTTCAGGATCAGGACGACGTAGGTTTATACAGATAGAGTTCTGTGATGAATTTTGTTGCTATTGATGTTACAAGTTTTATGTTAAGGCAAGGCAGGTTTCTGCCATTGTCATTGTCATGATAGAGGTACAAGGAGTATAACAAGCCTGTGAAGTATTGGTGATGGTTTTCTGCCTAATAAAACTTATGGTATCTAAGGTGGCATGACATTTATTGCTGTCATCATGGTCATACCAAGTACACACAGAATGGGGAAGGCTTGATCATATAGATCCCACAAACTGTGAGCAACATGCTGTTATTGCAATCAAATGTCTGTAATTACTGCTAGGTATGTGTCTCCTTTTATTCACTGTTATATCAAATTTCTGGAAAGATTCCTTTTTCACTGTTATGATTGCTGTGGCTACCGTGGCCCATAAGGGACATGGATTTATCACATATTTGTAAGACAAATCGTGTTAATTTGCAAAAGGTTACGATAAATGTAAGTGAAATATCAAAATATGGAAAAACAGACTCCATGTCCCTTATGGGCCACCGTATGTGGCAGATATCTATTAATGTCACAGACATCAATTTTAGTTGTACATGAAATGCATTTGTAAACATTCACCCTATTTTTACATTAAAAATGTCATTGCATTTATTATAAGAAAAAGACATGTTATTCCTTTATGTGACCTAAAATATTTCCAATGATAAGAATGTTGGTAGGTTATGCACTTTTACTTACTATTTGAGCAAAGGAAGTTATTTTGAAGGCATCAAAGATTATATGAGGCTTTGTTTATAGTAATTGGTTTGGGATTAACAGAGCTCCAGATAAGCTGCGTATCTGCATAAAATACACATCAGAAATGCAGAAATATGCAGTAAAATCAAATCCAAGCGTATCAAATACGCAACGAACATTACAGATATGCTACAAAAATAAAACTTGTGCGTATCATCAAAATATTGTGAAGTAACCCTGCGTATTTGATTAGCAAATTAGCAACTTATTTTGAAATTATGAACGGGCATTCCGTCAACCTTGCCATACTCCACGATGACAGTTACATTATGATCATTTGCCATCACACTTTCTGGTGGAAGTATCATGGTATTTTTGACTCCTATAAAGCTCTCAAACCCACATGACACCAGTTTGCAGGGACTAGATGAATAGTGTTTTTTAAATATTTAACTTAAATACCCACATGTGTAAAAACTAGTGGGTAACAGAAATTTGAATACCCAGATAGAATTACTGATACCCAATGATTTTAAAATGCGTGGGTAAAATACCCACAACACCAAAAGCTTATCTGGAGCTCTGGATTAAGGATAAACCAAGGGATCCTTGTCCTGTTGCTAATGTTGAACATTCACGATTAAATTCAATATCATAATGATCATCATAATGAAAGATCATCGCATAATTTCTAACATAGATATCAGATTGTGTTTGAGAAAAACAAGTCTGCTGAGTTAAATGCTGAAGGAAGGTGAGCTACAGAACCCATGCTACTGTTATGATGCAAACTAACAACTTCTGTAAAGTCAGGCCTTCCCGATGAGGTGCCTGCAGATCTGTCAATCATACAATCTCATTAATGCAATCTGTAAGTTAAGCTCTGGAGGTCTTTCTGGCCTATTGTGTCAAGAACACTGATATGTGATACTGGACTGTGGATGTTGCAGAAGCAGAAGAGAAAGCGACAAACATACGGAAGCTTTGCTCGCCAAAACGCCCAGCAACAGAGTAAGCAGAAGCGTGACACGACGCGCTCCCAGGCCAGCGAGAGGACCATCAAACAGATGCTGGGGGAGCTGTACGGGGACAGGAAGTACCTGGAACTTCTCCTCAAGGAGACAGGTACACACACGCCCAGCGGCACTCGGCTCATGTTGTGCTGCCACCAACAACAATATTCTCATAGCCTTTAAGTAATCTAGGTCTCGGGCCTGTTCTACAAAGCAATTTTAGCACTAAGACGATCATAACTCCCATACTTTAACATAGACTTATGATAATCGTAGTGCTAAGATTGCTTTGTGCAGGACCAACAAATATTGTCAGGGTACAATGTCACCCAATCAACCATGTCACATGATACCTATCCTTCCTCACTGCCTTTTTAACATGTTCTTGGGTATTGGTGGATCTTTAGCTTGCCTCCACAGGGTGGAGGAAATACAAGGATTCATGACAGTGATAGAATTGGCCCTTTGTAATCCATATATCCCCGGGTGCAAACACACATTACATTTAAGGATGATGCATGGGGTTGAGGGGAAAAGCAGCTACTGGTCAGACTGGAGTCTGTATACTGTGTCTGAGTGGGGTATCAATATTAAGATGCGGCATGGTATCTCAGTGGACTAGCACTGAAAAGTCTGGACTAGCACAAGCAGCCACACACACACAAGTCCATGCACATTGCTTAGTAAGAGCAATAATCTTAAAACACGGCGTTAAACCCCATTTCAACTCATCTCCCCACATGTAAGGGTGCATACCCAAATTACATGTATCAAATTTGATAGAAATGAATGAGAAATGGATAAACTGTCAAATCTCCATATGACCTGTTGCTTGCGTTGATACAGATGCCACAACAAGCACAGGGAAGACGATCTCGGACTTGGTGGAGGAAGGTCTGTCATACCTCGACACTCGCACAGACTTTTGGAGGCAGCAGAAACCCATGTACACCCGGCTGTATGAGCGTCGGGAACAGCGCCGGCGCCGAAATTCAGGAAACAAGGGCCAGTCTCCTCAGGATTACGTCATGAGTGAATTGGAGAGGATAGATGAAGGTACTACTGATTTGATGCATGATAACAATTTAGCTGACCCTTCCAGAGTGGAATGAGTGAGTGAGTGAGTTGGGTTAAACGCCGCTTTTAACAGTATTCCAGTTATATCGTGGTGTGTCAGCTTAATGTGGGAGGAAAGCCAGACCTGTCAACCCCTCATCATGACAATGTGGGAGATTTGCCTTAAAAATGGGGGAGATTTGCCTCCAAAGGGGAGATTTTTAAGATAGTGAAGATAAGATAATTTCGAACTTTTATTTTTAATAATGTTACAAAGAAAACCAAATATTTTGAAACAATAAATAATCAATAAGTTTCTTATACGTACAGCTTGCTTAATTTCCGTTTGCATTTTCCTCCTCCAAAAATAAACCCAGCACAATCTACCCATATAACTTTCGTTCAAAGATCATCTCAGATAAACGCAAACAGATATTGAAATTTCACAATCGGTAGCTTGACCAGTTGACGACGTGTTCAATCCCACCAGTTGTCAGGCTTCGTTACGATGCACGTTTTCTGAGTATTTGGCGCGATGTTGGTTACATAATTCGCAAAAGTAATATCAAATGCATTTATCCTGACTCAACATCATCGCCCTTAATTTCGATAAGATATACTGGTTTTTTTTCTGTCTGCGGTAGTCTGTTGACAGTCCCATTACTTCGCTTCTTAAATTCCTAGAAATGTTCACGTTATTCCATTCCAAGAAATGTATGCCATATTTGGAAGTACTATTACGTTTTACTACAATTTATGAATGAAATGAGTCTCGTTGTCGTTGTTGACCTTTCTGACCTTGACGTTTATTAATCTCATTGGTTGACTAGTACTGTTGTATGCAAATTAGATTGCAGATCTGGGACGCAAGCAAACTATTAGCCAATCAAATCGTGTAAAATAATCACATGATACATTCTTGCGAAATTTGATAAAGTTCTGTTTTGATATTTTCTGTGCACACAAGTCACGATGTCAGTCAAAAGGAAGTTTATAAGTTTCACTTTAAACTTTGACTTTGAAATCCTAGCTGTGAGGAAGCCTGATCGTGTAACTCATTGTTATTTCGACTACCGAATCAACCAATCACGCATAGTGTTGTTTCTGAAGACGGCGCTTGCAGGACATATTTTGTTTTCATTTCCAAGAGTTCAATGACGTAACTTTGAGGTATGTTGATGTTTTAACAAAGTTTCTGACAAATCTGATAACCAATAAAGTCATGTATAACTGGACCGGCCATATGTATCTACGTTCTTAAATTATGGAAGAATAAACACGCTAAGAACATGAAGACAACAGTTCATTTCATGAAGTGGTGAATACTTGGCTGATTTTTCATTTCAAGTTCAACCCTTCAGGCACCTGTTAGGACTATCCGAGTTTTCTTAACAGTTTACATTGTTCAATCGTTCACCATATGAATTTAATTACCAGTTGATCACTGGACAAAGGCCCATCTGGGTCCCCCTGCGGGTGGCTGTGATAAGGGTCGCTAATCCGGGAGCCTACCGGACAGATCGGGACGCAAACTTCCGGTTCATTGTTTTTACTCACGGGACAATGGAGGCGAATTTTTTAAATAATGAAAAATTCTGTTTTGCTGGAGAAATAGTCCATCTTGCGGGAGACTGGGAGATTTCATCAAATTGCGGGAGTCTCCCGCAAAATGCGGGAGGGTTGACAGGTCTGGGAAAGCCCGAAGTGATGTAGGTCTCAGACGTTTACCACTTCGGTGGAACCCACGAGCACGGGTATGGTGCTGACAAACCTAGAAACATAATCGGGGCGAACCAGGATTCGAACCCACAATCATAGGTTTCTGGTGTGCCCAAGGGATGCAACTCTGCACAGCGAATCGCGGCACCTTAGACAACTGGGCCACCCGTGCCCCCAAGAGTGGATTGAGTGTCGAGCATAGGCAAAACAACTCTCATCACTGTCACATAAGTTTGATAGAACCTCTCTGTCCTCAGGTGAACAATATGTAAAGTAGGGAATGATATGTTTACCTTGTTATGACCAGCTGGAGAAATTACTTGTTAAACTTTAATTGTTCCTATGGTAACCATGCTCTGCAACCTTCCAGCACAACTCAATGGGAAGACGTCGGAGAGTCTGAAGCGGGCAGAGAAGTGCCTGGCAACAGTACAGAACTATGGTGATGACGCCATCCCCAACAAGCTGGAGGTGACAGCCAACCTGCACAGCTACATTGGTAATGCCCACCTGGACATGGGCAACTACGAGAAGGCACTGCACCATCACGGCATTGACCTTGACATCGGAGAAAAGAAGTGAGTCGTCCCATACTGTCTGCGTTAGGAACTGTGTCTTAAAACAGTATTGTATACTAAAATGTCCTCTTGAGTTGTCTCAGAAGTGTTTTAAGTCTTTGAAAGGCATTTAGAAGTGATATACATAAGGAAGAGAATTTATGGATGTCAACTTCTTTATTATGAGGAATGCAACGTTTCGGAGTATATACTTAATCCTTCATCATGTGAATGAGGAAGGCGTAAGTATATACTCCGAAACGTTGTGCTTTCAGTAATGGTAAATATTGAAGTACCAGCGATTCCAATGTTAGAATTCATCCCAAGTAACCTACATTTGTCGTAAGAGGCATCTGAATAGATTTGGTGGTCAGACTTGGTTTCTTGGTTGATTGAATGTCATTATACCATTGTATTGGAGTGGGGCATGTAATGTAGAGAATACGGTAATGAATGTTCCAAATAACGTCTAAGTGTTATATGGTATGTAAGTTGTTCTCATAAATAAATAGTGGATCAGTGATGAATTAGATACAGGTGTTCCACGTCGGTTGTCATAATACTCGTGTCATTATTTTGTTTCATTTTGTAATGATGATGTTGATTGTGCTCGGCAGTAAGCTGACTGACGCTGTGTCCCGAGGCCTGGACAACCTTGGGAGGGTGCACGCCCGGAGTGGCAGCTTCGAGAAGGCAATACAGGTGTAAGTGTCTCTGAGTATTTAACTCTAACGACCCAACTTAATACTGTGTATTAGGGTAATGACAAGGGACCCCTGACTTTCATGCTTAATTCCTGGGGAATCAAACCCAGGTCACTAGTCACATGCTGTCCACATGCTAATCACATGCTAATCACATGCTAGCCCCATACTGGCAAAAAACTAATCACATGCTAGCCATATACTAATCACATGCTAGCCACATGCTAATCACATGCCATATAGCGACCTCCATTAAAAGAATAGAAATTGAAATAGCTTGAGATAATGTTAGCTTCTATTTGATCTTTATATGAACTACTTTTACTACTATGTGTTTATGTGATGCCTGGACCTGATGGGATTGTGTATGTGTGTAGGTGGGAGCGCAAGTTGCCGCTGACCAAGTCATCCCTGGAGAACACCTGGCTGTACCACGAAATTGGGCGCTGCCACTTGGAGTTGAGGGAGTACGCTGATGCCAAGAATTACGGGGAGAAGTCCCTTGCGGCATCGGAGGATGCTCAGGACATGGTGTGGCAGCTGCAGGCAACGGTACTCATAGCTCAGGCACAAGGTGAGAAACAAGCCTATTATGTAGGCTATGTTGTGAGTTGAGTGCAATGCAGCCACTATACACAGCATTTCAGTGCAATTGAGGGATGTCAGCTTGATGTGGGAGGAAAGCCTGAAGTGGTGCAGGTCATTGACGTCTACCACTTTGGGTATGGTGCTGACAAACCAGGAAACTTATTCAGGGCGAATCTGGGATTCGAACCCACAATCATAAAGGTTCTTGCACCTGTATGGTAGTTAAGGGAGTCATGATTAATTGAAGTATTTATGCATGGCTATTGTCCAATCAATAGAGTGTTGGTGAGTGGAATAGTTTTATGAAAGTTAAAGAAGTGGAAGTTTTGTGAAGCTATTAAAGAATACATGGTTTCATTTGAGGTGTTTCTTACAACCAAGAAACAGTTTGTGAAGTCACTGACGATGGGTTGCTGATGTGTTTGTATGCTGTTGTGTTTGTATGCTGTTTGTATGCTGTTGTGTTTGTATGCTGTTGTGTTTGTATGCTGATGTGTTTGTATGCTGTTGTGTTTGTATGCTGTTGTGTTTGTATGCTGATGTGTTTGTATGCTGTTGTGTTTGTATGCTGATGTGTTTGTATGCTGATGTGTTTGTATGCTGTTGTGTTTGTATGCTGATGTGTTTGTATGCTGTTGTGTTTGTGTGCTGATGTGTTTGTGTGCTGATGTGTTTGTATGCTGTGTTTGTATGCTGTTGTGTTTGTATGCTGATGTGTTTGTATGCTGATGTGTTTGTATGCTGATGTGTTTGTATGCTGATGTGTTTGTTTGCTGTTGTGTTTGTATGCTGATGTGTTTGTTTGCTGTTGTGTTTGTATGCTGATGGGTTTGTTTGCTGTTGTGTTTGTATGCTGTTGTGTTTGTATGCTGATGTGTTTGTATGCTGTTGTGTTTGTATGCTGATGTGTTTGTGTGCTGATGTGTTTGTATGCTGATGTGTTTGTTTGCTGTTGTGTTTGTATGCTGATGTGTTTGTATGCTGTTGTGTTTGTATGCTGATATGTTTGTATGCTGTTGTGTTTGTATGCTGATGTGTTTGTATGCTGTTGTGTTTGTATGCTGATGTGTTTGTATGCTGTTGTGTTTGTATGCTGATATGTTTGTATGCTGATGTGTTTGTATGCTGTTCACAGTTAAGCTGTCAGACCTCCAGGGGGCGCTGGTCAGCTTTGAGAAGGCGATGGACCTCGCCATGGTGCAGGATGACCGGTCAGCAGAGGTGGCTATCAAGAAGGCCATTGATGAAGTCAACAACAAGATTGTCCAGTCACTCAAAGCAGAGAAGGAAGGTGGGTACAACTCCCGTCATGCTGGACTTTCTGAACCTGTACATTGTTTGAACAAGAATTTGGTTTCAGGTTTTATCCTCAGACCAGACCTATATATGCATTGTTTTACAGATTTTCTTGGTCTCATTGTCAAGGTACTAAAACCGAACACCAAAAAATTGTCAAAGTTGATTTGTGGTTATTTTCTTATGTTCAAAGCTGGTTTAGAAATAATAATTAAAAAAAATGTTATAAAATTCAGCATATTTTCGATCAAACAGAACACATGTCTTTCCGTGTTTTTGTTTTTTCTGGGGTGTGGGGAGCGTTTTCAGATAAACGATATATGTCCTCACGAACCTATGCTTGTCTTGAGAGGCGACTAAAGGGATCTGGTGATCAGGCTCACTGACTTGGTGGATTGCATGTCATCGTATCACAGTTGCATTTATTGATGCTCATGATGTCAATCACTGGATTGTTAGGTTGAGACTCAATTATTTACCGACCACCGTCATATAGCTGGAATATTCCTGGACCGTAGCATTAAACAACAGACAAACAAACAATACAACAGGCAGTATAGTGCTGGGAACACTGCTGGTGTTACCGCTGGGGTCTAGTGTGTAACTTACAGTGCTTGTTGTTTACTTGAACGATGAAGAGTGCTCTCTGTGTCCAGGTGGGGCTAGTCAGGAGAAGACGGGTGAGGAGACAGGGGAGGAGCAGGATGACAACCAGGATGACAACATGGATGACAACAAGGCAGCTGAAGAAGGTCAGTGTTAATATTTGACCTGCCTCTGAATTACTGCGCAATATGAAAACATAAGCATATAACTTGCATAGACAGTTCACAGGAAATCTGTTCTTATGCAGTGTTATCTATTATGTTGACATGGAATGGTCAAACTCAAGAGCATGATTTGAATAGGGTAGAATAGGTCTTCAGCAACCCATGCTTGCCATATAAGGCGACTACGCTTGTCGTAAGAGGCGACTAACGGGATCGGGTGGTCAGGCTCACTGACTTGGTTGATGCATGTCATCGTATCCCAAATGCGTGGATTGATGCTCATTTAATCAATCACTGGATTGTCTGGTCCAGACTCAATTATTTACAGACTGCCGCAATGTAGCTGGATTTTGCTGAGTGTAGCGTTAAACAACAAACAAACAAAAGCACCCATTTGCAATAATGGGTAAACACACATGTATATTGTGATCAAATTTTGCTCTGAACGAACAACTTAACGTGAATGACCAACTGTTGAATTGAATGTTAACTGCATGTTCTTTTCTGAGGTATAGGTTTACATGCATGATATTTGGACAGTTGCCATAGGAGCGGGTATATGGGTGACGAGATTGAATGAAGCGTCTGTAAAATCAGCCTGTTTCTCCATGATAACCGTCCGGTGTTATGTTGCAGGAGGAACTGCCTAGAGTGTGACGACACCACAAGCCAACAGCTGTCTCTAATCACAAGTTTCAACTCAGACAGATCTTTATGCTCATGTCAGACTCTTGTTGTCATGGAGTTACCTTCATGACATGATGTACTGCCAGACGTTGCTTGATTACTTACCCTGAGAGATGTTATGTCATGCAGGTCATAGATGAAGGCTTTTGGCATTCAGTATTGACGTTGCGTTAACTGGTTATTTCATGCCAGTTGTATGTTGTGTATTTGTTGGGTACATAACTTCGTTGCTACAAATGTGTCAAAAAGTCAAATTTTATGTGTTCAAATTATGTTTACACTCGTTGAAAGTGTTCAGAATGAAGCTGACTGTGATATGCAATAAAGTATTTACAACATGAACGCGTCTCTTGAGTTGGTGTACAGACTTAAACTGATTGTCAACACCCAGGACCAGTCAGACAGAAGCTACAGGGAGTTTGATGATTGTGTGGTATGGAAGGGTGGATCTTTTCACTCGTGACTTGGGTGGGGCAGGGAGCTGACTAAATGTCGATCAGATGCACAGTCTCGGAGTGATGATAGTATTTCTGATAGTATATGTTCGAGTTTTTTCATGGAATAAATCATTTTGGAGGGGTTTTATGGTATCTATGAGACAAAACCATTTCGCTAAATTCGTCCTTATAGTAATTTACAATAAACTGTTGTTATTGGGCGACAAGCCAATCGACGTATCGTCGTTCGTCGGCAAAACATACTGACAAATTTGGCATCGATAAAATTTATAGACCAAAAAGTAATGGACCAAGCATCGATCCCTGTGCCACGCCATGCTTTATGTATCATGGTTTAGATATTTCCCCTTTCACAAATACGCTGTGGCTACATTTAATTATGTAAGCAATTTTAACAATTGGCCTTTTATACCATACCTCTCTAATTTATACACAATCCCACTGTGCCATATACAATGTTTACCTAATAAGAAAATCTACTACTATTTATGATCAGTTCCCTCAAAATGAATGTTGTAAGCCTCCCCACAAAGGCACGGAGCTTACACCACGCATTCACTTGACGGGCTGGAATAGGTTGATCTGCACATCAATCACTGGATTGTTTGGTCCATTTGAGTATTTCCAGGCCGCTGTCATATACGAGAAGCTGGCACGCACGCAGCACGGTCAATTAATATAAATTCCTAGCGTTGGTTATGTTCTAAGTGTGATGAGGGCATGGGAGAAATAACGACACCACAAATAAATAACAAAATAATCAAAAGAATACTACTAGGTCACTATTGTGCCTCTTTTATGTTGACCCAGATCTATAAGAGAAATATTTCTACAACGTATGTTAGAGGGTCATTTCGAAATGGCTATGGAAAAGCGTAGACTTGGTGTACCGTGACGAGGGTTGGTCGCGTGGAGAGGAGGGGCTCTAGGGTTGGAGCAGGACAGTGCTGGAACTGACGTGAGGTGAAATTGGGTTTGACGTCGCGTCAAAGATTATTGCACTTATATAGCGTGCACGTGTGTGTGTGTGTGTGTGTGTGTGTTTGTTGCTGCTTGTACTAGTCCGGACTGATGCCGATTTAAAGTGCTAGCTCACTGAGATACCATGCCGCAGTTTAACATTAATATCCCACTCAGACACAGTATACTGACTCCGAGCCGACCAGTCCTTGTTTTAGCCCCTTAATGCCGAGCGCCAGACAGGGTAACAACAAGTGCCATCTTTTAACGTCTTTTTGTATGACGCGGCCGGGGATAGAACCCCGGACCTTCCGCTCTCCGGGCAGACGCTCTACCACTAGACCACGGAGGCGGCTAAGTGCTGGAACTGACGTATGTCGACATGTCCTCAGTATCCAGTACTTGTTTATATGGACTAAAGCTGATCCGGTGGGCAGGCTAGGAGATGGCGTGGAAAGCTGCTGCTAACAGTTGGCTATTTACAGCCCGGAGAACATCGATTTTGAGAAATGCAAAGATAACAAGGTAGACACAATTTTATGGATAACAACTTTAATATTGTAAAAAGTGACGTTTCCGTATAGATCCTTATACCGTTGTCAAGCAAGACTGAATAGGGGACATAGTACAGAATATATATCATTCAGTCTTGCTTGACAACGGTATAAGGATCTATACCGAAACGTCGCTTTTTACAGTATTAAAGAAGTTGTTATCCATAAAATTGTGTCTACCTTTTCATCTGTCAACTTCTAAGTAATGCCTATCGAACAATTTAGCAAAGATTACACATTGTAATGTCTATTTTCTGAAAATGATCTTTGTCATATAAGGACGGTCATAAACTTCTGTTTAGGATAGTTCCCCCAGCAACCTACAGTATATACTTGTCTTACGAGGCAACTAAATGGATCAGGTTGTCGGGCTCGGTAACTTGGAGGTTGCATCTCGTCGCACTCCGACTGCGTAGATCGTTAAGGATATCGATTAGTGGATTGGCTGGTATACTCGACTACTTCGAGATCGATCTGCATAAAAAGTAGAGCCTTTTTTAGCGATCCCATATGTCTATATAGTATCTCGCACTCGGAAATGAACTTCTAAAAAAATATAATTTGACAAAACATTTAGTCATTAAGAAAGTGTTGTGTCGCGGCATGCCCACCCCTAGCCACCCTCCGCCCAGAGTATACGTACGTACCCACTGCGGTAACACACTCCATGTAGTGAAAGGCACTTGACAATCACTAGTCTTCTCATGCACGGTGGACCATATGTCGGTAGGGGCTGCTTCCCGACACTACTGACCCAGTAGCACAAAACACTGCTGACAGGACCTTTAAATAATCTGCGGAAATGTCAGGTAAGGCATTAATTTGAATTGTTAAGTTCATGTTATACCTATATTGTTTAGATTTCATTTACTCTCCTATTGCGTTCAAATAGACATCAAGAAAAACACCCACAAAACAATTACATTTATCCCAAATGTTATTTACGTGATCTAACGTAATTAATTTTGTATGTTGTATTTCAGAAGCGTTTCTCTATATAATCTTGTAGATAGTTTCAACTACATATGTAAATGATGTTACAGATATATAGAGAACCCGTGAAGATCCGAGTTGAATAGGTCTTCAGCAACCTATACTGTCCTAAGAGGCGACTGACGGTATCAGGTGGTCAGACTCGCTGACTTGGTGCAAGTAATCGTATCCCGATTACGATGCTCATGATGTCAATTACTGGACTGTCTGACCCAGACTCGATTATTTACAGACCGCTGTCATATAGCTGCTACATTGCTGAGTACGGCTTAAAGAACAAACAAACAAACAAACAATGTAGATATTAATACACGAGCCAGTGTCATATTGTTTATACGAAAGTAGGGTCAGAAAAATCAATATTTCCGGAGCTAGATATTTCGAGATATACATTTGACTAGGTGGCTTGTGTTCTGGTAAGTAATGCATCCCTGTTTCTCGGTTTTATAGAATTCTAACAATTCCATTTCCGAATCCAATATCAATTTCCGAAATGAGACCCAGAGGCATGTCGGCGACCTCCACTGTTTGCCGGGGAACAATGCACGGCGTTCACGTACAAACCTGGGCATGTACCATTAAGTCAGTATATATACACAGGCCGAAGCCGGGTAATAAAAGGTTTCATTTAGCTGCCAAATTCATTATAACCATTGGGTCACATTTAGCTTGTTTGTCCACGTTCTGTTTTCAATGTAAGACATATATTCACCATATTCCCCTTGTATGTGTGTTATACAACTCTGTATTAAATACAGATAAAATACGGAACCATCATTTTGCTTTACTTCAGACTGAAATAAAAAGTGCCGGATACCAAATCTTCATAGATGCTATAGCAACATTAAACAGTGACAAAAAGTGGATGTGTTGTAAAATGACGAAAATAATAACTGTCTTGACGATAACTCGATAAATCGTGAGGATAAAAATATTAAGGAATGAAATGTCACATAACGCCGAAAACCATATTTTCAATATGTAAACTACGCGGTATACATGATCAGTGTTCAGGGGCGTAGACTAGCGGTTTAGGGTTCGCTTCCCCACATGGATACACTATGTGAACCCTATTTCTGGTATGCCCCGCCGGGATATATTAATGGGACATTTCTAAAAACGACGTCAAGCCAACCTCAGTCACCCATTCTCTCAATGTTCAAAGGACGGTATATATAGTGGCCCAATGGCTGACTCACGTTGCGTCGTCACATGGGTATACTTAGATATTTGGTGTCACTATGACATAAACATAGACCCGATTATTGGTAAATAGTTATTTTTTTCCTATTGAAAAAACCCCCGGATTGTTTAAGATTTACTACCATATACTGTTCAGAATACTGTTAAGGTGATGGGCAGTCTCCAAAGGCTCATTTATTAGCAACCGTTTCGGGGGATAAGTCGATAGTTAAATGACACATAAAATTCTAAAAAAATCTTTTTTAAAAAGATAAAACGTTAATTAAAATTGCTGCGTCCCAGCGAAATGTTGTGTCACCCAGACGCGATCCAACATGGCAGTATTCCCTAGCCCCGCACATGCTATTATCTAGGGTAAGTGCCGCTTTGGGGGGTAGAATATCAGTCGGGGAGGAAAGATTAATATCTGTCAACAACACGGACAGATTATCGAGTGACAAGACCTTGTTTACACTATAATGCTGTGAGAGAGGGGCTATTGTCTTGTACTGCTACCGATACTGTCGAGACGGGATATATGACCGTTATATACACCGCAAGCCTGAAGTTTACGCATAGTTGTAATGCTGACTCTGTTGTAATAACGAAGTGTTACGTGCATTAAAAGTATACAAGTGATCATGTGGTTTATATTACGAAACCGAACCCAGTGCTTTGACACTCATGCCTTAAACCAACTACAGGATAGGTTTAGCATGTGTAAACATGTCGAACAACAAAGTAAATAATAATATAAATAACTTTTCATGATCAGATCAGATGATTCTTCATAATATTTTTCATATGCGCAAAATTCAAAACGTTACTTAAAAAATCATGACCCGCAGGACATGCTTACCCTTTTCGCGATTTTCAGTGACCCATTCATGTAATATTCACCAGTATCTAGCATTTTAAATATGCCCAATTACAGTTTTGAATTGTTTCGAGACTGATTATTGTCTGGTATTGACGTTATATGTTTATACAAAGTGTACCTTAGCTATGACGTTTGTGAGTCGATGCTGAAGGAAATACGACACCCAAGCGGAAAGATAGCAATGTACAGTCGTCCTGTACTGATACTAATTGAAGATGATTAGCCACAAGTGTCTTTTCAAGTTAAATCCTCTTGATAAAAAAATCCCCCACGTTGAACAACAGTTTTTCATGTCTACGCGCTCAGACAGGTTCAAGGATCAGTGTAAACATTCATCTGTGCGAATATCTGATTCACGAAGATTAGCAATGTGTGTAGGCGATTAAAAGGGTGATACACATGTCAATATTATATATGTCAATATATCAATAACCATGATGGTCAAGATGATAACACACATGTCCTCAATACCCCGGGTGGTCAAGATGGTAACACACATGTCATTAATACCCCGGGTGGTCAAGATGGTTACACACTTGTCATCAATACCCCGGGTGGTCAAGATGGTAACACACGCCCTCAATACCCCGGGTGGTCAAGGTAGTGACACGTGTCCTTAATACCCCAGGTGGTCAAGGGGTCATCAAAAAAATGTCAGGTGTATGAACCTGTGAAGACTAACAACATGTGACCCTTGTATTAACGTTTAGTTCAAGTTAGTTGACTTTAGTTCTGCCCTCCTCAGTGAATGTAACCCTAAACTTGCAATTAGCCACTCCATACTATGCATATCAACTTACAATGCACTTTAGAATGTACTAGGTGTTTTACTTTGTAACTCTCTTGCACCAGTATAAGTTGAAACTACAGTAAACTACGGTTATAACGAACTCAAAGGGACTTCTAATTTTAGTTCGTTATAACCGTAATTCGTTATAAGCGTGTTCGTTATAACCGTAGGTTACTGTACATGACCCTGTATACAAATTCTGTACGTTACATCTCGGGAAATAAACATTTATAAACTAAAATAAATAAACACTTTGTAAGAGGACAGAACTACAAGTAGGTACATACCACAAATCAAGGATCATAGACGTTCGTCAACTTGATGTTTGTTCAGCCTTAACATTCTAATCCAAAAGCACATACAAACAAATCAGTATTGTGGGACTGTGCAATATCTAATATACCTAGAGGAACACGAGCAGATTGGTATAAAAACTTATCTTTGATTTACATATACCTGGATCAAGTAATCGCAGCTTGCCTGTCACAGGTAAAACATAGTGGCACATTGCCTAGATACTATCTACAACAGGATATACACAGATTAACTTTCCTATGTGATCGGGTGGATCCCCTTGCTTCATTTGTCATGACTCTCATATTACACCGACCGGTGCGCGGCATTGAAGGCGGACATACACGCAGTGCCACTCTCTACCGTCAGGATACACTGCCTTGACACTCTCGTGCCCTGAGAAAGGTAAGGGTGAGGGGACAAGAGGCAGGGGCTGGGAGAGGCATGGGGGGTGGGGAAGGGGAAGATAGGTATTACCCTGGACACAAGTGTTAACACAATGGAGGCATGTTCTCAAACCTGTACGTTAACTGTTGTAGATATACTACTCGAAATAAGTTGAACACACCCAATTCTTTCATATTACAATAGTTAATTTGTCAGGCCACCCGATGTCTTCAAGTTACTATCGTGAATCTGTCAGGCCACCCAATTCTGTCATATTACTATAGTTGATCTGTCAGAGCAATATTAAAGAAGAGGGTCTACTTAAACTTCTTTTACATAGAATATATACCTGCCATAATATTATGTATAAAAGTGATGAAATATTGGTATAACGTGCTATATGTGACCATGGTCTTCAAGTTGGTTCCATATTTTGTATTCATCTTCATGTCATGTTTTCTTTTGTAAACGTTGATCTTCAACTTACTTACTTACTTACTTACTTTGGAGATTTAACGTGCGCTTTCCGACTGATGCGTATTTCGCACACGGGCCCGGCCAGGCCATTTAATGTGTTTCCGAAAGGGGCGAAGGTGGTCTGTGCAACCCAAGAGGGGGGTTTTAGGGGTTGCTTATATAGAATTTGGGAATTTTGAGATTTGGAATAGATGCCGATGGGATTGGGGAGGAGAACTAAGGGAGCTGGGTATGGTGGATGTTTGTTTGTTTATGTGATTTTGATTTGGTAGGTTATTGTGTTTTTAGATGCGTTTTATTAGTTCCGTTTTTATTAAGACTACGCCTAAGGCCTTGAAGTTTTCTAGTTTATTTTGTGGGATTAGTATTGCTTCTAGAGTTAGAGCCTTGTTTAGATTGAGGGTGGTTTGTAATGCGGTTCGATGTGTTAGGTAGTGTGTGCAGTGGATGAGTGCGTGTTCTGGGGTTTCTGGTTGTTTGCAGTGTGGGCAGTTACCTGTAGTGTGTTTATAACAAAATTTTAGGTGGTTATTTAGGTTGGTGTGTCCTGTTTGGAGTTTAGTGATTACTCTGTCGATTTGTTTGGATGGATGGAGAATTTTTGGTTTGGTTAGTGGTTTGCTGAGCACTATTTTGATTTGGCTATTTGAGTTTAGATATAGGTTATGCCATTTTTTTGTGATTTTTTGCTTGTTTACACTTTTAATTTCTGATTTTGAGATGGGTAAGTTTAAGCTTATTTCTGGGATTTTGAGGGATAGTTTAGCTGCTTTATCGGCGTTTTCATTACCGTATATTCCTACGTGGGCGGGTATCCACAAGAAGGTTATTTGTTTGCCTGCCTTAGTTAGGTCGTTGGAGCTTTTAAGTATTTGATTTATTAATTTAGGTCGGTTTTTGGTATTTTTGTTTTGGAGGGCTTGCAGTCCACTTAGGGAGTCGGTAAGTATTAGGAATTTTTTTTGTGTTTTTTGGATTCTTGATTATGGAGGGCTGAGGCCATGCCCATTAGTTCTGCCGTGAATATTGATTGGTTGTTTGGGAGTCGGAAGGATTTTGTGGTTTTAGTTGGTTGTGTGGTATGGACTCCGAAACCTGTGTGTTTGGAGGTCGGATCTGAGGATCCGCCCGTGTAAATGTGACACCAATTTGGCCAATTTTCGTGTAGGTATGCTAGTGTGGTAGTTTTAGCTATGTTTGGGTCGGTTTGTTCATTTATTTGGCTAGCTAGTGTTGTGTCTATTTTGGGTATTTTAAGTTTAGGGGTGAAGATATTTGATTGTTTGCAGTTTTGTTTAAGATTTTTAATTTGGTGTTCATTTAGGTAGTTTGTTATTCTTTGGGATATTGGGGTAAGTAAGGGGTGTTTACGAGCTAGAGCTTGGTTTTTGGGGCTGATGTTTTGGTTTATTAAGTTTTGGATGAGAGGGTTTGATTGGGACGCGGCCCAGAAATTTAAGCTTAGCTGTTCCCTGCGTAGACTTAGTGGCATTTCTCCTGTTAAGGCCTGAAGTGAGGTGTAGGAGGTGCGATGTTGGGTGCGTGTAATTAGTTTGAGAGCCTGATATTGTATTGAGTCAAGTGTTTTAGATAGAGAGTTGTTTAGGGTGTTGTATATGGCGCAGTCGTAGTCTAGTTTTGATCTAATTAGTGATATGTAGAGAGAGAGGAGGGTATCTTTGGATGCTCCCCAGTTAGAGCCAGTTAGGCATCTTAAGGTGTTTAGGTCTTTACTGCATTTAGTTGTTAGGTTTTGGATGTGAGCATCCCAGGTGAGATGTTCATCGAAAATAAGTCCTAAGAATTTGGTTTGTTTTTGAAATTTGATTGTTTGATTGTTTAGCTGGAGGATTGGGGAGGCGGGTTTCATGTTTTTATGTTTGAATACTATTCCTGTTGTTTTTTCTGAGTTAAGGGAGAAGCCCCATTTGTCAGCCCATTGTTGTATTTTATTAAGAGATTTTTGGAGTAAATTTTGGACCATGTTCATGCTTTTAGTGCGGATCCAGATGGCTCCATCATCCGCGAATTTTGATGTGTTTACTTTAGGGGATAGGCCCTCGAATAGATCGTTTATCATTATATTGAAGAGGGTGGGGCTGAGGATACTGCCCTGTGGAGTATCATTTTTCTAGGGGACATTGGTCCGATAGAGTTTGGTCTATACCCACGGTTATTTTACGATTGTTTAGGAAGTCCTGGATGTAGTTTATTATCTGACCTTTGAGTCCTATTTTTTTTAGTTTTTGTATTAGCCCATCGTGCCATACCATGTCGAAAGCTTTAGAGAAGTCTAAGAAGATGCCTGTGGTATATTGTTTATTTAGTTGTCCTGTCTTAATATCTTGTTCTAGTCGGGCGAGGTTATCTAGGGTTGAGCGGCCAGGAGTGAAACCGCTTTGATCTGGGTTTATGATGTTATTTTGGGTTAAGTAATGTTGTAATCTATTTTTAGCCATTGATTCCATTACTTTACATAAGTTTGAAGTTAGGGATATTGGTCTATATGAGTTAGCTTGATTAGCTGGTTTATTAGGTTTAGGGATTGGTATGACTAGGGCCTGTTTCCAGGGAGTAGGGACCTGTCCGTTTAGGTAGATGAGATTGTATAGTTTGAGTAGTGCCTGGAGTAGTTTTAGGGGGAGTTTTTTAATTATTTGGTAAGAAGTTAGGTCTAATCCTGGGGCTGTGCCCTTTTTCCTGTTTTGGATTACGTAGAGGAGCTCCTCCATTGTGTAGGGTTGATTTATTTCTAGATTGTTATTGTTTGGTTCTTTTGTGGGTTTGTTTTCTGTTTTAAGTTTATTTTGGAATTTTTTACTGAAGTTGGTGTTACTGCTAACAACTTTGTCATTAGCGTTGTTTTATATGACGGCATTGTTTGATGAGTGAGCGGATGTTGTTTTACGCCACGTCCAGCAGTATTCGTGTTGCATCACAGCAGTCTTTAAATAACCCAGTCAAAGCAGGGGTTGATATTATGAGCAACGTCTAATGCCGTCCTGTACGATGACAAACCATCAAGCGGGACACCGTGCCTGACTATCCGATCCATTTGGTCACTTCTTACGACCAGCATAGGTTACTGGGGACCAATTCCGACCAGATTGGTTGGCTGGTTGGTTTGTTGTTTAACGCCGCACTCAGCAATATTCCAGCTATATGACGGCGGTCTGTAAATAATCGAGTCTGGACCAGACAATCCAGTGATTGATATCATGAGCATCGATCCACGCAATTGGGATCGATGACATGTATCAACCAAGTCAGCGAGCCTGACCACCCGATCCCGTTAGTCGCCTTTTACGACAGGCAAAGTCACCTTTTACGGCAAGCATGGGTTGCTGAAGACCTAATCTACCCCGGAATCTTCACGGGTCAATTCCGACCAGGAATAACCAAGAAGTGAGACGCCTTTTTTAGGATCATGAACACCATATGAACATGCAGAAAAAGTCTTCTGGACATTTTGTTTTGACAAGATGATCATGTTTGTTTTCAGGTTGATGCAAGACGACAAATACTGAGAAGATCCTGAGCGACGCTTGTCATTGGCCTTTCACGAACATGATGAGTGCCCCGCCAGTTACTTTACATGTGACAAGTCAGCACATCTGATGGATAAGTAATATATCCGGTTGCTGAAGAAAGTCTGTGATTAAATATAAAGATGGCGGCTAGCATTTCTTTTGGTCGTCAGCGCGAGAAGACGATGTTCATGCGCAGACGATACCTATTTGACATCTACATGCGCGAGGGGGATGCGCACATGAGGGACAAGAAGTACAGGAAGGCTGTAGAGAGTTACGACGCTGTGAGTACAATATGGGCGCCTTTGAAATAAAAATAATGATCCAATGTTGTCAACAAGAGTAAAACATTCTCACTTTCTAGTTGAAAATAATATAAGTGAGTGAATGAGCTGGGGTTTACGGCTCTTTTAGGAGTTTTTCAACAATAAAGGGGGACACCAGAAATTGGTTTCACACATTGTACGCACGTGGAGAGCCAACCCGGGTCTTCGGTGTGACGAGCGAACGATTTACCCACTAGGCTACCCTACCGCCCTTTACTACCTGCTATAACTTCCCGTTTTATGAAAGATTAATAAACCTACAAGGAAATACATTTTGCAATTGAAAAAAGGAAGAAAAGCATTCTAGGCCATTTAAGTTAATTGGTATTTCGAGATGAACTTGTTCATATGACGTTCTTCATAATACATCTACCACTTCCTTATTACAGGGGCGGTCGGGTAGCCTAGTGGTTAAAGCATTCGCTCGTCACGCCGGAGACCCGGGTTGGCTCTCCACGTGCGTACAATGTGTGAAACCAATTTCTGGTGTCCCCCTTTATTGTTGAAAAATTCCTAAAAGAGCTCTCACATATACCCTCTCTTATTAATGCTGGACTGGGGCCTGTTTCCCAAAGTGAAGACTGTGGTGAAATTGGGTTAAACGTCGCGTCCAAGATTATTGCACTTCTATAGCGACGTGTATGCACGTGTGTGTGTGTGTGTGTGTGTGTGTGTGTGTGTGTACTCGTCCTGAGTGATGCCGATTTATAGTGCTAGCTCACCATGCCGCAGTTTAACATGAATACCCCACTCAGACACAGTATACTGACTCCGAGCCGACCAGTCCTTGTTTTAACCACTTAATGCCGAGCGCCAGACAGGGTAACAGGAAGTAGATCTTTTAACGTCTTTGGTATGACACGATCGGGGATAGAACCACGGACCTTACGCTCTCCGGGTGGACGCTCTACCACTAGACCACGTAGGCGGTCACTAAGTGAAGGGGGTGAGGGGGCTCGTCAAGTAAGGCTCCACAGTTCGAATCCCACATATTTCGCCCTAATTATGTTTCCTAGTTAGGGCTATGGATTGAAATTTCGTGGCGTTACTATATACTTTCTAACTGAGCTGAATAAAAAATAACGTTTACGTTTTCCGATACTGCTTATATTGCGGTAAGTTTTAATTCATCAGTGTTCATATGTCAATGCAGTAAACCAAATCTAATTTTCGTGTTAGAGAAATGTCGGAAGCAACTTTCTGAGACTTATTAGTTCACCGAAGCAACGAACAAAGGCAGCCATGATACACGCATGGCTTTGCTAATAAAGCAGGCTGAGTGGTCTCATGTTGCCGGGAAAGTTAATAATGTCAAGTTCCAATAAGGATATGTCACGAGTGAGTTCTGTTCAAATTTGACTGACAAAAAGTTTATTGAGATAGTGCCCTGCAATATAAGCATTAAGGTCACAAATCATTCAAAACTCCGCCAACAGAGGGGAGAGCGGTGCGCTTTGTGTAACTGACATTTAGATATTGAGCACTATCCACGCTCGCCGACAGCATGTATATATGTGGGTTGTTGATAGGGTTCATGTAAAAATTTAATTACTGTTTTACCTTCATGTGGAAACCACGTTCACATCCGTCTGTCGTATAAAGGATGGCTGTGATTACGTATACGCCTTCTTGCGTTATTTTATGTTGACTTCAATTGAAGTTACTGTCCGTCCATAACTGATCCTTTCCTCTAAAGTCAGTACTTGTACTTCGAATTTGTATCAAATGTCCTTCCTTGTCTTTCTGGTCGCAAGATAACATCGATGGTCCTTTTTGAAGGGCGATAGCACCTCCTCTGTGGTTCTTGAAGGGCGACAAGCGTCCCTAGGTGGTCCTTGAAGGGCGACGAGCGTCCCTAGGTGGTCCTTCTTGAAGAATGATTACTGTTCCTATGTGGTCCCTCTTGAAGAGTGATTACTGTCCCTAGGTGGTCCTTCTTGAAGAGTGATTACTGTTCCTAGGTGGTCTTTCTTGAAGAGTGATCACTGTTCCTATGTGGACCTTCTTGAAGAGTGATTACTGTCCCTAGGTGGTCCTTCTTGAAAAGTGATTACTGTTCCTAGGTGGTCCTTCTTGAAGAGTGATTACTGTTCCTAAATGGTCTTTCTTGAAGAGTGATTACTGTTCCTTGGTGGTACTTCTTGAAGAGTGATTACTGTTCCTAGGTGGTCCTTCTTGAGGAGTGATTACTGTTTCTATGTGGTCTTTCTTGAAGAGTGATAACTGTTCCTGGGTGGTCCTTCTTGAAGAGTGATTACTGTTCCTAGGTGGCCCTTGTGAAGGGTAATTACTGTTCCTAGGTGGTCCTTCTTGAAGAGTGATTACTGTCCCTAAATGGTCCTTCTTGAAAAGTGATTACTGTTCCTAAGTGGTCTTTCTTGAATAGGGATTACTGTTCCTAAGTGGTCCTTCTTGAAGAGTGATTACTGTTCCTAAGTGGTCCTTCTTGAAGAGTGATTACTGTTCCTAAGTGGTCCTTCTTGAAGAGTGATTACTGTTCCTAGGTGGTCCTTCTTGAAGAGTGATAACTGTTCCTAAGTGGTCCTTCTTGAAGAGTGATTACTGTTCCTAGGTGGTCCTTCTTGAAGAGTGATTACTGTTCCTAGGCGAGAATGGTCCCTATAGATGTCCTTCATTGAAGGGTGACCTCATCCTTACACGACCCTTGTCTAAACCAACATGGGATATATTTGTCTGGGATTATCATTTAAAATTGAGTTTCAAAGAAAGTGTGGTTGCGAGTGAATATGGCCTTTTACGCCATTTTTAGCAATATTCCAGCAATATCACGGCGGGGGACACCAGAAATGGGCTTCACACATTGTACCCATGTCGGGAATCGAACCCGGGTCTTCGGCGTGACGAGCGAACGCTTTAACCACTAGGCTACCCGACCGCCCCGGTTGCGTTTAAACACTGCATTTAGTCTTTATTGCTATGCCGTGTTTTGTGAAAGTATACTACTCAAAAGAAGTTAAAGAACACCCGAATTTTTCATATGACTATAGGACCGCCTCCGTGGTCTTGTGGTAGAGCGTCCGCCCGGAGAGCGGGAGGTCCAGGGTTCGATCCCGGGCCGCGTCATACAAAAAGACGTTAAAAGATTGTACTTGTTGTTACCCTGTCTGGCGCTCGGCATTAAGGGGCTAAAACAAGGACTGGTCGGCTCGGAGTCAGTATACTGTGTCTGAGTGGGGTATTCATGTTAAACTGCGGCATGGTATCTCAGTGAGCTAGCACTATAAATCGGCATCAGTCCGGACTAGTACAAGCAGCTACACACACACATACACGTGCATGCACGTCGCTATATAAGTGCAATAATCTTGGACGCGACGTTAAACCCAATTTCACCTCACATATGACTATAGTCAACATGTCATACGACTATAGATTAACTATGGTCATATGAACAATTCGGGTGTTCTTTTGAGCAGTATATATTCTATGTCAATTTCTTCATGAATTAGCCGCGCCAGGTTCCACTGGTCGAAGGTTCGATTCTTAGATTAGCTCCGATTTTCACCCTTGATCTTTCAGCACTATACGCGTGCTTGTAAACTTCTCTGACATGATCCACTTTGGGGTTTCCACCCACACATGAAGCTGACACGCCGTGAGACACAAGTTGCGTTAAAACCGGTTAATTCACTCATTCATTACTGATCGTTGCACCTGTTGTTGCAGGCCCTCCGACTCGATGCCTCTAACCTGGCGGCGCATGTGGGGAAGTCACATTGTCACCTGCGTCTAGGTCACGTGAAGCTGGCGTTGGCGGACGTTGAGGGAGCACTGTCTATTGATAACGTCTACCCACCGGTAAGTGTGGCCCTGTGTAATATATACATGCAATTATTTACGAACTGCCTCTGTATCATGTATAACATTAGAATAGACATCATCTTGACCAGATATATTTTGTGATAAACTTCTTTGATCTGTATGTTAAACGTATAACTTACTAACGTCTCACCGCGTTGCTCGTCCATGCAGAGAGTTTTCAACTTCACGGCTTGATAAATTATATAAGCAATATAAGCGTTTAATGTTACTAAACAATTGGGGGCACCTGTGGCCCAGTCGTCTAAGGCGCCGCGATTCGCTGTGCGATTCGCTTGGGCACGCCAGAAACCTATGATTGTGAGTTCGAATCCCGGTTCACCCCGATTATGTTTCTAGGTTTGTCAGCACCATACCCGTGCTCGTGGGTTTCACCAAAGTGGTAAATGTCTGAGACCTGCATCACTTAGGGCTTTCCTCCCACATTAAGCTGAGACGCCTCGATATAACTGGAATACTGTTAAAAGCGGCGTTAAACCCAACTCACTCACTCACTACTAAACAACCACCCGCATGTTGTTGAATTTTATCTAATGTTCCAGGCGATACTCCAAAAGGCCACCATCTTCTATACTCTCGGTAACTACGACATGGCACTCCTGTTCTACCATCGCGGTCACAAGGTCAGTCCCGAGAGCACCCAGTTCCAGGAGGGCATCACGAGGTGCCGGCGCCACATCACCGAGACTACTAAAGGTACATGGACACACCAGGACCCACTTGCACAAAGCAATCTTAGCCCTAAGATGATTGTAACTCCCATACTTTAACATAAGCTTACAACAGTCTTATCGCTGAGGTCGGTTTGTGCAAGTGGGCCCTGCAGAGGAGTGAAGGAGCCAGTAGTTTTATCGCTGATTCCAACAATATTTCAGTTCTATCATGGCGGTCAGGCTAATGTGGGAGAAACGCCAAACCAAAAGACCAGAGACAACAGTTCTTTGGCCTTATGGACGTTTTCCCACGTGCTCTTTAAAGAAAACCTATGACCACGGGTAATGTGGGCCAACAATAATTCTAACCAATCATTGGACTATTCGAAATGGACGTGTTGGGCCGTTGCTGACACCATGGACTTGGTGTCTGTATTATGAGTGCGTAAGTGAGTATTGTTTTAGGGCCGCTTTTAGCAATATTCCATCAATATCACGGTGGGGGACACCAGAAATGGGCTTCACACATTATGCCCATATCGGGAATCGAACCCGGGTCTTCGGCGTGACGAGCAAACGCTTTAACCACTAGGCTACCCGACTGCCCTGGCTGTATTATGAAACAGGAGATAAACCTTCAATACAGAGCTACGTAGATCCGATGCTAAAATAACCGAACGCTCTTGTTGTACTTTGAAACCTCTGAACATCAGGGTGGATGGGGGCGGTCAGGTAGCCTAGTGGTTAAAGCGTTCGCTCGTCACGCCGAAGACCCGGGTTCGATCCCCGACATGGGTACAATGTGTGAAGCCCATTTCTTGTGTCCCCCGCTGTGATATTGCTGGGATATTGCTAAAAGCGGCGTAAAACCATACTCACTCACTCACTCAGGTTGGATGGCTGAACGAGTAATATTTCATCCTGCATGCTTCACTTTCAGGCACGTCGATGAAACTGACCGAGGCCGGAGACTTGACCTTGTACGTCCACAAGAAGGTACGGGTACCCTTTTCGCGAACACCTGGTGTCATCACCAGTGGAATCTGTTTCTTCGGATAATCGAGACTGGTTATTCTCTGGCGTTGACGTTTTAAATTTTTGTATGATCCACAATAGCTGAGTCAGCTTTCAACAATTCAAATATGTACCTATCCATTTTACTTACATTTATTGCATCTTCAAATTATATCTAACATAAAGATTTTTGCATGGTCATAGATGCGAAAGATGGGCGGAGCTAGAAGGCAGAGTGACACGCCCACAGGACCCCCGTTATCACGTCACAGCAGTGCAGGGAGGGCGAAGAAGAAGGAAGCTAACCCATTACACAGATTAGGTAGAAGACAACCAATTAAATTATCCCGAATTAAAAAAAGAGCCAATCAAAACAGGTTGAACAAGTCAACGAATCAGAGTCGGGCCTGGGGCGGGACGGTGTACTCGGAGCCTGACGAGAGGACGATGAGGGAAATCCTTGGCGAGCTGTATGGCGACAGGGTCTATCTGAGAGACTTCGTCCGCCAAACAGGTACTCACCTCAACATTACTTCTCTCAGTTCGGACCGCCTCCGTGGTCTAGTGGTAGAGCGTCCGCCCTGAGAGCGGAAGGGTTCGATCCCCGACCGCGTCACACCAAAAGACGTAAAAAGATGGTACTTATTGTTACCCTGTCTGGAGCTCGGCATTAAGGGGCTAAAACAAGGACTGGTCGGCTCGGAGTCAGTATACTGTGTCTGAGTGGGGTATTCATGTTAAACTGCGGCATGGTATCTCAGTGAGCTAGCACTATAAATCGTCTAAAGGCGTCTAACGGGATCTAATAGTCAGACTCGGTGACTTAACTGATGCATGTCATCGTATCCATATTGCGTAGATCGATGTTCGTTATGTATCAATGGATTGTCTGGTCCAGACTCGATTATTTACTGACTGCTGTCATATTGTTGAGTGATGCGTTACACAAGAAACACACAAGCAAAGCCTTTATAATATCGATCATATATCGGGTACCCGTACGTCTTATGGCTAGACTGTCCACATTGGACATAAGTGTAGATAATGATTTTGTCGGACCCTATAGTGACATAGTCTTAAAAGAGGTTTCAATTAATGGGATAAAATACTCGACGTTTAATCCAAAGTGACAGATGGAATGACGTGTTAGGACACATACCCATCTTGTGTTTTCTGCGCCATTGTTTCTGTTTTGCATTTACATTCTAACTACAGTAAACTACGTTTATAACGAACACGCTTAGAACGAACTGACGGATATAACGAACTTATTTTTCAGTCCAGACCATTTGTTGCATATATGTTGCATGTTTGCTTATAACGAACTACGGTTATTACGAACTGAAATTAGTGGTCTCCTCGAGTTCGTTATAACCGTAGTTTACTGTATAGCCTATAGCAATAACCCCATTGGCACTGTTTTGATTGTCTTCAGATGAAGGTGAATCTCGAATTGATGTTGAAATCAACTGTATAGCTGAGAATGGTCTTCAGTTCCTTTTGGAGAGGGTGACCTACTGGAGTCTCAGACGCCTGCCACCTGACCCCCCTCCCTCCCCTCCGCTATCACGCAAACACAGTCGTCAGGGCAGTAGTACACAGCGGAAACTCACAGAGTCACCCCTTCCTAGACAGAAGAGCTCCCTCTGGGACAGAGAGGTCAGCGACCTCATTAGGGTTCTGAAAGAAGAGAACTCGCGTGATGACTCTGAAGAGGAAGTGGAGGGTATTGTGGGATACAGGCCTTACAGGAAGGAAAAGAAAAAAGTAAGAAAATTGCATTTTGAGTTTGCCACCTACAGACCAGGAAGTGAAATGGGAGGGAGAAAAGGAGAGAGCAGTGCGGAGAGCGGACAGAAGAAGAGCGGACAGCAGAAGAACACACAGCATCAGAAGGAGCAGATGCCAGACATTGAAGAGGAAGAGGAGGGAGATCACGTATTGGACTACTTGATGAAGGAGCTCGCGGACATTGTGGATGGTAAGGAGAACCATTCATTGTAACGTGTTTCTGAGAGTTGTTTGGCTGTAGGTGCTAAAAGCAACGGGAATGTATTGCGGGGGTCATTTTCATCAAAAATTAATCAATCATTAGTGTTATGACGGGTGGAAATAATTGTTCCGGGTGTCTAAGTGCATGTCTGCCGATGTGTTATAATGTTCAAAGGGCACATGCGGTCCAGTCATTTAAAAAGACGCTATTCTCTGTGTACATGTATGTAGGTGCTAAAAACAACGGGAATGTATTGCGGGGGGTCATTTTCATCAAAAATTAATCAATCATTAGTGTTATGACGGGTGGAAATAATTGTTCCGGGTGTCTAAGTGCATGTCTGCCGATGTGTTATAATGTTCAAAGGGCACATGCGGTCCAGTCATTTAAAAAGCCGCTATTCTCTGTGTACATGTATGTCCCTTAAGCGTGCCAGAAACCTATGGTCGTGGGTTCGAATCCCTGATTATGTTTCTAGGTTTGTTAGCACCATATCCCTGGTCGTGGGATTCACCAAAGCGGCAACTTCTAAGATTTTTCCTCTTATATTATACTGACACGCCTTGGTATAAGACGTTAAACTATACGAGAGAGAGAGAGAGAGAGAGAGAGAGAGAGAGAGAGAGAGAGAGAGAGAGAGAGAGAGAGAGAGAGAGAGAGAGATTATAACTAAATGTCAACGTCACAGTTCACAACACTTAGGAGTGAGATGTCAATGATTCAGTAGCGTTTATGTACCCCACGTGCAAACATGCAAGCGTGCACACGACGTCGGACAGGAGTTCGCAAGGTGCTAATGACGTCATCAAGAATTGACGTCTGACGGTGATATGCTGTCGTAGTTGTCAACGTACTTTGTGAAGACTGGTGGCACGTCGCAGTCGCTGCAGGTGACTTCTCAGTGAGAGTTCTGTCACGTAGGTGAAAAACGGGGGTTTTCCGATTCGTGGCTGCGAGCAGAGCTGCCGGTCACCATGTAACGTTGCATCAACCTGGTTTGCGTACAGTTCACGATTATTGCAACTTGGGCGTAACTAGCTCCCCACTGCACCACACCAATTGCTCTTCCTCGTTGATCAGCAATTAGCCTTGTCGTACACTTATCGTTGACTGATGATTTTATTTTGCCATGGCACTGTTTTTAAACCCTTATGCGCACGGGTATCATGCTTCGTCAGCAGGGTTGGGGTCAAGGGGGGCGATCAAGCATCTTATTCTGTCAGATCGTCATCAGAGCCGGCGCATATGTTTTCAAACATCATTGGGCCGCTTAATGTTTGTTCCAGATTATGCACATGTTCCAACACCATTAATTCAGATAAAGTTTGCGATTTAGAATTATGAACTTTCTGAAATATGACAGTAAGTCTAGCTTTGGAAACTCTATTCGCTATTCGCCTACATGTATTTGATGCCAAATTCTTCAATACTGTATTTTAGCTTTTGATCGCGAAGACTTCGAGGAATGCAAACGGAGGGCCCATGTTTGTCTACAGACAATGTCCAACTACACCGAGGACGACATCGCCGACAAGCGTGACGTCGTGGCCAGGGTACACAGTATCCTTGGTAACACTCACCTGGAACTAGGTGAATATGAAGAAGCACAGGAACACCACGAGAAGGACCTGTCTATTGGAGAAGAATGGTGAGTTGCGGTGTCATCAGCAGCTACGGAATATACAGACTTTAGTGATGTAACATGAGAGATATAACATAAGTTTCAATGCAATGTTTAAAACAATACGTACACATCTGTAATTATATATCGTCATATGTAAAAACAAAAAACATTTATTAATCGGTATAATACGACGTTACTGTCCTAAAATATTTGTGCGGCGTTAAACAACAGACCAACCAACCGACCTAAAATATTTTACATCATGTCTTTCTCAGCAATATTGACGAACCAGTGTCACGGGCTCTTGGAAACCTAGGTCGAGTATTCGTCTATAAGAAACAATTCCACAAAGCACTAGGAGCGTGAGTAACACATCGTTTCAATGATTCTATACCCTATAATCCAACATCGGAAGCATAACCTGTCTTTAACAAATATCTTAACAAACTAAGAACACCTTTTATCTCATACATTTTCTAAATAAGGGACAGTGTTAACAAAAACAAAGAAAAAGTGTCAAAATTTAGCAAAACGCGACAATGGGACAACCTGGCATTTTTACTATACCACAATGTCCCTCCCAGGATTCCATACATCTCTCCCTAGTCGCTATATGGCTGAAATAATGCCGATGCGACGTTAAACTTTAACTCACTGACATTTCTCACTTGGAGTATTTTCGTTTTTTGACAAATTACTGATGATATCTACTTGAAATCTATGGTGCAAATTTGAACACGTGCATATAAGACATGCGCAACTGGATGAGATCGCCCACATTTAGGGGATGGTCAGTGTCCTAGTCTTTTTCAGGTTTCCTGTTGCCAATCTTGGTACACGATAGAAAGCCATTCATCGCACAGACCCGTGAAGATTCCGGGGTAGAATAGGTCTTCAGCAACCTATGCTTGCCGTAAAAGGCGACTATGCTTGTCGTAAAGGTGACTAACGGGATTGGGTGGTCAGGCTCGCTGACTTAGTTGATGCATATCATTGATCCCAATTGCGTGGATCGATTCTCATGATATTAATCACTGGATTGTCTGGTCCAGACTCGAATATATACAGACAGCCGTCATATAGCTGGAATATTGCAGAGTGCGGCGTTAAACAACAAACCAACCATTCATCACTGACCATGATATTGCTGGAATGTCACCGGTATTAAACTCCAATCCCTCACCTGCAATGTGTTTTGATGGTAGATTTGCAAGGAAGACGAAGCTCGTGGAGAGGCCGGTCGAGAGGGCGTGGCTGTTCCACGAGATAGGGGACTGCTTCCTGAGTCTCAGCCAATACGGCTACGCAAGGGATTCTGGGAGGAAGTCTCTGCACGCAGCGGAGGAGGCAGAGCATCAGCTGTACCAGCTTCAGGCCTGCGTCCTCATCGGGGTTGCACAAGGTACACGGGCAATACGCGGGCAATACACGGGCAATACGCGGGCCAAACCCTTGTGGTAGTTAGACTAGCATCTCTGGCATAAGACAGAAGCAGGGGAGCCACGAATTTATTCTTTTATACTAAGTGACAGGTAATTTATTATGGGGATGTAAGAGGGTTTTGATGTACTAACAATAATCCCCCTCCCCCAACCCCCCCCCCCCCCCTAAGGTTTAACATATTTTGGATGACCCTCCCCATATCCTTTTACCATCCTTGAAAAGACAAAAGCACTTTGTATGTTATTATAAAATGACCCCATTCCACCCATAATAAATGACCGGTCAAGGTCACTAGGAAATGGTCAGGCAAATGGTATTCTGTCTAGTTTGTCCGTTGTGATCATTTTGTGACTCACTGTAGGCACCACTAAAGACTACATGCAATTCCCGAAAAAGTTTAACTCTTCTTGCTCATCTTTTGAAGGAAACATTTTGAAGAAATGAGTTTTGTATAACACAGGTGCCAATATTTGAAGGTGTTTGTGAGGAGTGAGGAGTAGATTATCGATACCCTACAATATACAAGGGATAGACCCAAATAGAGAGTTATAATCTATTCGTTTTGTTCCAATCAGTGAGTTTGGTTTGGTTTGGTTTGTACCTTCAGTTATATCACGGCGTGTCGGCTTGATGTGGGAGCAAAGCCCGTGGTGATGCAGGTCTTAGACGTTTACCACTTTGATGAAACCCACGAGCACTATAATAGAGAAAATCTAGGAATAGAATCCGGGCTAATCTGGGATTCGAACCTACGGTCAATGGTTTATGCCTGTTCGTTTCAGTTTAAACAGTACACAGCAATGCTCCTGTTAGGTTAGGTTCCGTTAAACTAATGGTATACAGCCATGCTTATGTTCTGTGAATTTCCGTAATACTGAGGGTATAGGGTATATGTCGATGCTATATTCTGTTTGTTTCAGTGAAACTGAGGGTATACAGCGATGCTTATGTTCTCTTTGAACGGGCGCTGGACCTTGCCAAACTAGAAGGTGCGCAATAATTACCCATAAACTCCACAAATCTGTGGCCCTGGCTCCTCAGAGTAAACAAAACCCCTCTTCCAATTATCTTTAGTACCTATCAAATGCCAGGAGTACGAGTATTCACCGCTGATATTTTCGGAAGCACATAATAATAATAGTATTCAATAATAATATTAATATTAAAAATAATAACAACAATAATAATGATAATAATAATTATAAATTGTATTTGGCCACAAACATAGAGGGACACAGATCCCAAACGTGTTGAAAATGTTAACAACCAACGGATCCCATTCAAATGCATTGTCAACTCCCTGTGGAAGAAACAACTAACATAAACTCTGAACTCACGGTTGAAATGCGATCAAATATATGAACTAAACTAAAAATATGTGAAATGATTATAAGCATATTATAGAAATGAACACTGCCTTCCAACACGATCCTCTCATCTTCTGAAACTCTTTTGAGAAACAGCTGACAAAGACAGTATCAATATTGTATTTCAGGTGATCGTGACTCCCAACGGATGATAACACAAGCCCTGGGTGAGGTGAATACCCGGATGTCAGAAGTGGCTAAGAAACGAGGTCAGAACAGAAAGGGGTCAACAGACAGTGGTCAAAGTGCTCACGCTACTAGTAATGTACTAGGAAACGATAGCAGAGAAGAAGCAGGAGGGAACACGAAAATGATTAGCCCCGCACTTCTTGACGACAGCAGAGAAGAAGAAACACAGCAGACAGAAAAGATGGACCCTACCCGTGCAGACGACAGAGAAGAAGAAAAAGCGCAGACGAAAAAGACTGACCGTACGCCAGCAGACGACAGAGAAGAAGAAAGGGATCAAATGAAAACTGTTTACCCTACACCGACAGACGATACCAGAGTCGAAGCGAACAATCCACAGCCAGAAGACACACAGGAGGGTCAGCAGTCACTGGTAAAGGTGCAAGAACACCCCGATGACACACAAGAAGACCTCCCCCGCGAAGTGACAACAGGTGGAGCTGTGGTTAATGTGGCAGAGAGTGATACTGAAGCTGGTGATCATCAGGGCACATCTGTCGGGGAAGATGACAGTGATGTGACAGAGACAGACTCCGAGACAGCAAGTGACAGTACAACTGTGAGGGGCGACAATGATAATGACACTTACCAAGGTGAGCGTCGATCCCGAGCCTAGACCGGACGACCTTTGGTAGCGGGGTGATGGCAGGACTTACAAATGTCATTGTCTGTAATCCACGACTTTCTACGAAAGTGACTCAATGCAACTTCGGATATGCGTTTTTTATTTACATTCATTTGACGTACAATAAAGGATCTACTTGTACCCACTGTGGAAAGTTTCCGTGTCTTGTAAAACAAATGTTTTCAGTAACATGGTACGTGTCACTTATACGACTGATTGATAGGTTCTAAGCATCACAAAAAAGAATTACATAATAGTGAAATCTTTTGTTGTGGTCTGTGACGTCAGCCGCATCAGAAATGATCCAGAGAATCCACGGTACGACCGTGCGTTATATGACTGAGCGTCATATTGCTAGTTCATTACCACACTCGTTGGCTTCCATAGCTTCTTACGCCTGATCCAAAACGCACTAGCACAATGTCGTGATAATGTAGCTCTGTTCAAAGCTGATCAAGAAAGGTTCTTGCAACGATTTGTGACAAAGGCCGAACCTGGGTAGACCACTTCCAGTCAAAAACAACAATCTGCAAAAACAATCTGCAAAAACTTGATAACTGCACTTCCTTAAATTTGTTCCTATTCCAAAGGCCAAAGGGCCCTGCTTATTTTACTCGCAATTAGCTCAATTGACTCAAGTGAGTGAGTGAGGGAGTATGGTTTTACGCCGCTTTTAGCAATATTCCACCAGAAATGGGCTTCACACATTGTACCCATGTCGGGAATCGAACCCGGGTCTTCGAGCGAACGCTTTAACCACTAGGCTACCCGACCTCCCCTCAACTGACTCAAGATTATGTATTTATCGTGTAATGTCCACAACAAAATAGTTTACTTTTACGCAATTCCTTCCATGTCAATTTGTCAATCGACCCTCGTACTTTTGTACACTATCTCGGCACAGTGATGAACACACCAAGTATGACTTAAAGAGACACAACAGAAATGGTTTAGGGAGACTGGGGACACGACTTAATCAACGACAACCTAATGTTCTGGGAGATTTTTTCGATACAGAATATGTTTCCAGTCAGCGCTTCAAGCGCTCCAGGTACATGAAGGTGGTCTGTAAATAATCGAGTCAGCACCAGGCATTCCAGTGATTGACATGAATACACACAATTGGTATACGAAATGCATCAAACAAGTCAGAAGCCTAACCACTCAATCCCGTTAGTCCCTCTTACGACAAGACACATCCACGTACACCCTCTAGTCTCCATGCGTATCTTTTCACATTAACGGATCCCTTGAGTGTAATATTAGCAGAATGTCATGTTTAGCTTCTTCAATGGCAAAATGTCTTGAACTCTTATTTTAATAACTTACACATAAGCACAAAGAAATGTATCCATAACGTTAAATGCGTGATACGTGAAAATAATATATGTCGTTGGCTAGTAGGTTATTTACTGTGGTTTGTACCAAGATGTGAATTATTGATACCACAAATTCGATTTTAGATAACAATAAATGCGCTTCGAATTTATAATATGTAAACATCAGTTTTTGCTTTTAAAAACGATTTTGTGATATCTAAAATTATTTACTGCAATCTAAAAACGAATTTGTGATATCAATAAATGTATTTATTGATATCTAAAAGTATATTGTTTGGTAGCAATCAGTGAATTATTGATATCATAGAATAGGGAATAAACAATAAAACGGCGCCTCATACAGATATGGTGCAATCAAATATTAATTCAGCTCGCAATACTTATACTTATACCGATAAATGTAAAACACGCCTGGTTCATACTCACGATGCTGTCAGAGAACTAACTAAAGCCATTCCTAGTCACACAGCTGCTGACATGTATATTACAGCCGAATTCCGAGACGGCCGAGACAGCCATGTTAGCAGTGAGGTGTGAAATGCTGCTACGCACAAGTTAGCATATCAAAGCTAATCCATTCATCATGCTAGAACACCCACACGTCATCCCCTTTAATCCAAAAAGAACCATAATCCGATTTTCATGGATTTATAGAATTCTGGGTAGGCCTATGTTGTCAAGAAACAAACGCTTACTTCTATCAACACGCATACAGGTGCCTCGGCTCTAGAAGATATATGTGTATGATGCACGTGTAATGGTGCGGTACTGACGGACCCACGTTGTCTATGCTAAATCACTGATGACCAAAACAGTCTTCGTTGGAGTACTCTTCATCTCAAGGACAAGCAATACATTTTGTCTCCATGTCCGTGAACCTGGCTCAACGAAGAGTAATGGGACATCGTCCTATTTACCGTGGAGGTGTTATATAGTCGTATATACGAACAGTGCGTATATGCTGTACTTGGATCACATCGTTGAACGATGGAGCAGCCTTAGGATGTACGCGTTGAATGTGATACAATTACTATCCTGCCTGTGGCGGAAATCTCAGCTGAGGTTCTCCGGAATCAAATGTTCTGACGTGTTCTGATGAACACACTTGATATCCTGTGACATATATTCTTCCAAAAGACATCCAATCTCGTGAAGGAAAACTGAAACTATAATCAAAATGGTGGATATAAAAATGGCGACTCCTCGTCTGGCAGACGGCAGTCGAGTGAAGGATGGTGGTTCCGCCTCCAGATGCCTGGTTGACATCTACCTGAAGGATGGGCGGGAGTACATGGGTCAGCAGGACTACAAGAACGCCCTGATTAGTTATAACAAGGTGAGGAGGGTCACCCGTTGTCATGGGTAATCAATGTGAGTAGAGGCCCTAAAGGCGCCGGATTGTTTGTTGGTTGTTTAACGCCGCTCTCTGCAATATTCAAGAAAGCGGTCTGTAAATACTCAAGTCTCAGCCAGACAATCCAATGAATGACATCATGAGCATCGATCTTCGCAATTGTGATACGATGACATGCACTAAGCAAGTCAGTAAGTCTGACCACCCGATCCCTTAAGTCGCCTCTTACGACAAGCATGGGTTGCTGAAGATCTATTCTAACCCGGATCTTCACTTGGTGAGGGGCGGTCGGGTAGCCTAGTGGTTAAAGCGTTCGCTCGTCACGCCGAAGACCCGGATTCGATTCCGGTCATGGGTACAATGTGTGAAGCCCATTTCTGGTGTCCCCTGTCGTGATATTGCTGGAATATTGCTAAAAGTTCGCATTTCACAAAGTGTGAGCCCATTATGGTGTCCCTTGAATATTACTGAAATCCCCATAATCCTAACCTAACCTATCAAAAGGTCATAATAATGCATAGAATAATTTAAATATGTATTGTGTATTCCTGATATGGCAATAGTTCTGTAAAATGACACCATTCAAATACGAAAAGTTGGTTATTTAAGATTATGTATCATTATACTGACGGAAAGAAATAAAGCAACATATGTAGGGAGGATTGCATCGGAAGGATTACAAAGTTGCTATTTACTTTTTCTCAATGCGAAGTACGATACAACTTGACCAGCCATCATGTATTATTCATATTATATACACTTACCAAGTTTAATGAATACACAGTAGTAAATGAGTATGCTTCCCCGAAACTGTCCCACAATATTCATTGTCAAATTATATTTTCCGAATAACGGTACCATACAGCTGGAGCAATATGAATTTAATATTCTTTGCTTCACGATTATTCCATCTTGTTGATGCACAGTTTCTTAATGCAGGCCCTAGAAATAGAATCAGGTGATTCCACGGCCCTTGTCGCGAGAAGTTGGTGTTATTTGAAAATGGGAAAGCGACAGAAAGCACTGCGAGATGCGGAGACGGTGATGGATTCTGACGTCATGAACACTGAGGTAAGAGACACGCAGCTGACTGCATCCACATAAAAGCTGTGATTCTTAGAATGAACCTATCGTTTCCATAAAATCATAGGTGTTCAACATGGCGATATGGAGGGTATCCTATCCTCAATAGTATGGTATGGGCTTAGGAGCGTACACTAACGTGTACGCTATATACGCGCAATAAGCTTGAACGCGTTGTTAAACCCCATTTCACATCATCTCTATATATAACAAGATAATAATATTCACCAAATTTCCACAATGACCGATTCTGATGCATCTTGGGTAGCATGATGGTTGACCGAGTTCATCACGCCAAAGAACATTTCTGAAAGTGACGTTGAAGCTCACTCACTCACTCAGGCAGATCCAGAAGAAACCTTAGATGTATATTCGGTCTTGTCTCTGAGTGAGTGAGTGAGTGAGTGAGTGAGTGAGTGAGTTTGGATTAGATCTACTTTGAACAGTATTTCAGTTATAATTATACCATGGCGTGTTAGCTTGATGTGAGAGGAAAGCTCGATGTAATGCAGGTCATAGACGTTTACAGTTTTGGTGAAACCAACAAGCACGGGTATTATATTAACAAAGAACATAATCAGGGAGAATCGGGAAATCGAAGTCACGATAAAAGGTTTCTGGAACGCCAAAGGGAAGCAACTCTGTACAGCGTATTTCTGCGCATTAGACGACTGGGCCACCCATGCCCCTCCTGTATGTTGAGCAAATGCTAAAGAAAGGTGTTGTCTCGCCTCCTAGGCCCTGCATGCCAAAGCGGAAGTGCTGTTCCAGAATGGCAACTTTGAGCTGTCACTGATCTACTTTCATCGGGGACTCAAACAAAGCCCCATGAATAAAGAGTTCTTGGCTGGCGTGAAGAAGTCGCAGGAAGGCGTGCTCAAGTTTGGCGGTGAGGTCACTGAATGCGCAATGTAGAAGTTCATGTTCGACAATGATTTCCGGTTTGATTGTATGGCTGTGTGCAATTATTGATATAAAAGCTGATGTTTTACTTTGTAGGCAGTAACCGGGGTCTGAGAATGTCCACTGCGGGAGACCTTTCTCTTTACATGCACAAAAGAGTAAGTATTGGGATCTATTCATTGATATATACCATGATTCAAATGAATAAAAGCCTCAAAAACCATTTCTATTATAATAAGAAATCTCTGCCAAAAGCAGATTCCATTGTACGATTCAGACTATATAATACGCATGTGTTTAAGAAACACTATCAAATAGTGATGATACCAGAAGTTCGAGAAAAGGTGAGCGTATCGGTGGCAACTGTCACAAACACATGCAAAGGCAAGGAAACCCTTAGGAATTGCAGGGCAGACATTGCCCCCAGTCATCCATACTTGTCGACTATTGAGGGTCAGTTGATCAC